ATGCAGGAGACCAATGTTAAGCCTAACCAGCTAACTTTTGTTGGAGTACTTTCAGCATGTAGCAACACGGGCTCATTAGATAAAGGACAGGCAATTTTTAATTCAATGGTTCATACCTATAATGTTAAACCTTGCATGGAACATTATACATGTATGGTGTCTCTCCTAGGGAAAATGGGTCATCTAGACAAGGCCATGAAGTTGATTGAAGAAATTCCATTCGAACCCAGTGTGATGGTTTGGCGTGCTTTACTTGGCGCATGTGTTATTCATAAAAATGATGAGCTCGGAAGACTTTCTGCCCAGCATGTTCTGGATATTGATCCAAATGATGAGACAGCTTATGTTTTATTGTCGAACATATATGCTAGTGTTAAAAGATGGGATAGTGTGTTTTCGGTTAGGAAAGTCATGAAGAAGCAGCGAGTTAAAAAGGAGCCTGGAGTTAGTTGGATTGAGCACCAGGGAACAGTTCATTACTTTATGGTAGGAGATGTATCACACCCAGATAGAAAGTTAATTCAAGGAATGTTAGAGTGGCTGAACTTTAAAAGCAATATGGCAGGATGTATTCCTAATTTTGATGCTATTTTACTTGATGTAGAAGATGATGAAAAGGCACGGCTTTTATGGACGCATAGCGAGAGAATAGCTCTGGCTTTTGCCCTAACCAGAATATCATCAGGAAGCCCCATTCGAATATTCAAGAATCTTCGGATATGTTTGGATTGCCATGCTGTCATTAAGTTCATCTCGAACCTTACACGTCGAGAAATTATCGTTAGAGATATTAATAGGTTTCATCATTTCAAGGATGGAATTTGTTCATGTGGTGATTACTGGTAACATATCATTTGATGGGGTTTCCACATGTACCAATGTCTCTTCCATGCCCTAAGTTCGATACATAGCATCTCATGTGAAGAAACTGAAAGACATCACCTAGGGCTGCTGTCGCTAGAATGTCAGGCTGCTTCTTCCAACCTTCATTGGGGGTAAAATGAAATAGGTGTGGTTAGTGCTGTTTTCGGCACTTGTGGACTATGGGGGCTGATTTAGTCTGGCCAATCATGTTGCTTTATGAAGTGCTCTTGACCACATCCGACACTTGGATAAAGACCTCTCAACTATGCCCGAACAACTCAATTATGCTTGTCTGAGTTCTGAACCAAGGTATGACTAATTATTTGTAAGCAGTCTTTGTCCCTTTTGTTTTTTGTTATCTTTTTAGGTTGCAAACTTGAGAAACTCAAGGGTTTTACTACCGAACATTAAATTTTTAATTTTATTATTATTATTTTTTTTTGCTAGATGGTCTTGTGAATATCAGTTATCTGGTAGATAAATTGATGAAATGGCTGCTAGTTTAACTTCAATCGTCATACATTTGGCAACGTCGCTCTTGCATGCATGGCTTTGTGGAGATATCTAATTGAAATTATGGTAGTTTATTGTTAATTGCATCATAATATCTAACTAATACTGAATTATGCAACTCTTTCATTTTCCTCAGTTTCCTAAATACAACTTCAAGGCATCGGTTGCATTGTTGCCACATTGTCTGCTTATAGAAGGTATACGTAAGTTTCAGAAACCCAGATTTCTAGATGTATATAAAGAGAGGTTTAGAGGTGAAAGATTCAGGCACAGAGTTGCTTTTCCTAAAGGCATAATTCTGGTAAAGAGAAGAAAAAGAATAGCTTGTTTTGTAGGATATGTTCACCTTTTGCGGTGTTTCATTTGTTTGAATGACCATTTCTTGGATTGCCAACACTACAAAGAAACTTCTCTGTTAGTGTCTTGGAAGGAGTTTTTGGCAAGGTTTAATCTACCCATGATTGTTTTTTAATTGAATTCAGTTAGATTTTTTTGTCCAGTACTGTTATTGTGAATAGATAGTTGTTATAGAGCTGAGTCAGGACCAATACGAAATCGAAGAAGCCAATGAAAATTTCTGAATTTCTCTTGGCAATTGCTTTTTCTCACAAAGAGTCAGGAATTTTCCATGTCGTTGGTGTGGTAGCTATCTGATTGTACCTGAGACATCGTGACATACTAGCAAATGTCCTGTTCTGGATGTCCACAGCTTCATTTTTAAGGTGAAGATTCTTTGGGTTATTATAAGCACCCTTAATGCGTGTTTCTTTTCTAGTTTATGTACGTATTTTTAATTAGCGTTCAGAAGGTGCAATCTGGATAGACTTTACACTTGCATAGAGGATATTCTAATAAAATTTTATCTGAATGATCTGTTCAGTATGGAGCTGCATCAATGCAAAGAAGGTCCCATAGCTTTCCAGAGTTTCCCACATGAGGCAGGATGGGCATTTCCCAAGCTTGAGTATGTTTATATGAAAGTAATTTTACCTTTTTATATGCAGAATTCGTCATTTCTCTTAATTTTTTAATTTTTGGTTTGTTCTGTTTACAGTTTGTGATATGTCGAGCTGCTTGTATCTCATATGTCTTTATGAAAACTGTATTCTCATCAAAGGGCTAAAATACGAAGTCTAATCTTGACCAATGTAACTTTCATTGAAGGTGCTTGTGAATGTGATCCATCTGGTCCTTCAGCAAGTTGATGATGTCCTTGGCTTCAAGTTTTTTCTCGCTCTGAACCTGCTAGTGAATTAGGTCTTTAAGGAAGTCTGATTAAGACAGATTTCCTCCTATCCATCTGCCTGCATCCTGCAGCACGAGAATTAGGGCTTTTGGAGAAGTCCTCATCCGTGCAGATCGTATGCAGCTAGCCAACTTGAAGCTCGATTGAAGGTTAAATTACTACACTTTGTCACCTTAGCTAAAGTTTTGCGTTTTAGTGGAAAAGGAAAAACGTCTTGAAAATTCTTGTGCATAAGGTCTCCTGTGTCTTCTTTCTCAATTAAAAAATAAATAAATAAAAATGCTGCAATAAATAGTCCCATTCTCTGCCTAATAAGCAACAGCAGTGTTGATTCTTCTGATTTCCTGCCCCGAAACTAGGAATTCTTTGCAAGAAATCACATGGTATGCTGGTCAATCTTTACAATTTTGTCAATTGGTTGGTTAGTTTTCTTACAGACAATTATTTCAATTTTAAGAAATCTGGCGTGTCGGTCGAATATCTATAGTATTATCATGGTATAATACCATAGTTCAATGTACATATCCGATGAAAACCGACATTTATACTGGCAAATCAGACTTATTCCTCAAAGAATAACATCTACCATTTCCGAGTTGAAGTTGGTGCATACTTTAAAGATTCCATTTGCCAGTGTGGAACATTATTAGTGCAATTTCTGTGTATATTATCTATTTAAACCGATTAATATTCTAGTGTGAAACACTAGGGCATTTTAAACTATAGACTGGTTCATATCTTACTATATTATAAACAAAAATCACACTTAAGAGAAAGCACCACCATTTGCCATGTGGTATTTCTACATCATATTTTTAAAATAAATTTTTATTTTCACATCTCCTAGACTTAAAAGGCAAATGCAGTCCAAATTCACCTCCACCTCCTATTTTCGCCAAAAAAAAAAATCACGGGTTCATAAAAAATCCAAATCCTTATCTCAATCTTCACGACAATCGACTCCCTAATCAATCCCTTCTCCACAATTAAAAATAAATAAATTCCTCATCAATCATCAATTGAGAGTATGTGGTGAAATATACTCCTTTCCTATTAGCATGTTCAATATTTTCATTAGTGATGATCAACTACAATCTAATCGGATAAAATTTCAACTTCAAAAAATATTCTCTTTACCTCTTTATATCAACACAGAGGAAAAAAAAAAAATTCTCATTGATCTTGCTTCGGCCGTTGTGATGGCATTACATGTATTAAAATTTGAATGATTTTATTTCCACAGATCATTGGTTTAGCTTTTATTATTTTTTATTTTTCCCGTTCAGGAATAATGTTATTACTATTATTTTTATGTATCCATTCGTTACATCTACCGTAGCCGTTGTCAGGTAATATAATGTGATTTCTTATTTGGTTAGTTAGCTTAGAATTTTTGTATGATTTTAGTTATGTTTGGATTGAATTGATTAATTGGATTTTTATTACAAAGTGTGGTTTTTAAAATTTTTTTTTTATGTTTCATTCAATTAGAGTGGTTTTTTTTTTTTTAATTATGGAGTCTCAGGTTTTTTTTCGTATATGGCCAGTTATGAAGTGTGTTTTTTCTTTGTTTAATTGCTTTTGATTTTGTTTCACACTCCCAGTTGACCAATTGTTATTATTATTATTATTATTATTATTATTATTATTATTATTATTATTATTATTTTATTTGCAAATGAAGCGCGTTTTTTTTTTTGTGTTCGGGATTTCAAGAATATACTTTTTTGGATTTGGTTTTTGGACATTTTTTTTAGTTTCTCATCATATAAATAGTTCAGGTCGCTTCTTCTAACTAATTTATGGAGAAACCTTTTATGAATTTGAGGTGGAGAAGGAAGGAACGATGTTTCTACGTTTATTTGTGTTTTTATACATCATTTTTACCTACAGAAAAAAAAAATTTCAAATTTTAATGGGCTATGTTTTACTTCATTTTTTTTATTTGCCATGGTGAGGTGAGTTCTTTTTTGCTATATCTTGAAATCTATGCAAATTTACATTATTTTCATTCTCATATTTGTGATCAACCAGTTTCAACAATTAACTAATTTCAAAATCATATTTTTGATATTTACTACTTATAAACTTTTGGAAGATTCCAACAATTAAGCGTATACGCGTTGGAGGAAGCTAACTACAAAGCTATTATAAATCTCCAAGACTAAGTATAGATTTGGCACAATAAATTACTAATATTTAAACTTATTAGGATGTTTTTATATTTTGTCTAGCATTTACTTCAAGACATATATTTGATCAAGTTTATTTATATTTAAGAAGTAACACTTTATAAAACATTTCTAAAATCTTCAAACATTTCTAAAACGTACCGGGTCAAATACAATTTATTTTTATGCCAAATACAAATATTACACTTATAAAACATTTCTAAATTCTTCAAATATTTCTAAAATATATCGGGCCAAATACAAAATATTTTTTTTCTAGATACAAATATTTCTAAGATCTACAGATATAATGGGTCAGGGTCGACATCACTAGTATATGAACCAAAAAAGTGGCTTATTAATAAAATAAATATATTAGATGTTAAAATTTATAATTTTTTTCCTACAACTTTTAATGACCTGACTCGACACCCCTCTCTTCTTGGTTTATATCGATGAATTTTCTCTTTCCAAATTTTTGGCCATATTGGGTTTTTACCTCTGCATGTATAAACGGTGGCTACTCATCAATGCAATTTCTATGTATGATATCAACCTATTAATATTTCTTCCGTTCCATTTTAATAATTTGTTTTTGTAGAATTTAAAAGTAATATAACAAAATGAATTATAAATTTGAAAAGAAAGAATAACACTTTCAGAGTTTTATAATTGTAGGCGTCAATCCTATTCTCATGGAAATTCAGTTCTTTTCAACATAATAATTATACTGAGAAGAGGAACATCGCTAATGTGTTGAATCAGTTTTTCACTCGTACATTAATTTGTGTTACTTTCAGTTTTAAGGTGCTTGTCTCTTTCACTGTTGAAAAACAAAAAAAAAGTCTTCTATTCTGTCAATTTGTAATATGTTCTCAACAGAAAATCATTAATATATACATTTTCAGAAAAAAAAAATATGAAGGAAAGATAGAACACTAAAAAGACAGTTACACTTGCTTGTAGCTTAATTAATTGTCTTGAACCATTCCGGGTAGTGAGTGTAACATACGGCTTGACTGACTTTGCCGTCAATTATTTCAATTACGAAACTGATAAGTTACTAATTATACTCCAACTAAGTCATTATATCAAGTTTTCTCTTTTGAACCCTACATTATTGTGTGAAATGAAGAATGTTATGCTGGTAGTTTTAATTCGAATTTCCAAATTCCGAGCACGAATGTACAACACACGATACTTAGATGACAATAAAATAAATAATTCATAGTTATATATTGAAAAAATGATATATCGTGGTGCATTCTTTAAGCAAAATTATAAATTTTAAGTTAATTTAATATATAATATAGTAGTATCACACTAATTTTTCATTCTATCCAAAATGATATAAGGAGGTACGTTTTATTAATTAGAAATACATGTTAGTCTGTTACAATGCATTTTATTAACATAATACTAAATTAGTAACATAGTGGTATAATTGTGTTGATTCGGTCCAATATATCTTTGATAATTATACTATTACTTTAATCCGTCGAGACTTATATTATTACTATCTTTAATAAAACACGAGCTAACGATAATACGCTATCTTTTCATTTCATGCAATAATGTTGAGGGGACGTCTTTTTCCATGACCAAGTCAACTCATATAATTCCAAAATTCCCAAATTTTCCATCACTACTTTCCTTTTCACCTTTTTTCAATACTTTCCTCTTTCTCCTCCTCTTCCTCCATTTTCTTCCCTCCATTTTCTCACCCCTGCACTATTCTTTTTTTCTTTTTTTCCTCTTTTGGTTGTTTTTTCACTTTGCTCCCCATCATTTCTTTGCTCGGGAGCCCTTTTCAGGCTGCTCTCGATCGGCCCTTTTTTTCCGTTTCTTGAATTTCTTCCCCTGTTTTTCCACAATGTTGTTGTGAACAAGAACACAACTTTTTTTTTTTATTGTTTCTTGATCAAGGAAACCTGTATATTCGTTTCTGTTTTTTTTTTTTCCTGATAAAATTAAGAAAGAAGAAGAAAAATTGGTGTAGATAAAATACATATATAAATGGATATAGCCTCGCAGTTGAAGAGAGGGATTTCGCGGCAATTCTCAACTGGGTCGTTGAGGAGGAGCGGGAAGCTGAGTTTTAAGAGGCAGAACTCGTTCGATCCGAGGCGGAATAATTTGAGGTTCAGTTTTGGGAGGCAATCTTCGCTTGATCCGATTCGGAGGAGCCCCATCAGCGATGAAGGGAGCCAGCTGGCCGTGCCGGAGAATCTGGATTCCACGATGCAGATGTTGTTCCTGGCTTGCAAAGGTGATGTGGAAGGGTTGCGAGATTTGCTTGATGAAGGTGCGGATGTGAACAGCATTGATTTGGATGGACGGACTGCTTTGCACATTGCCGCCTGTGAAGGAAATGTGGATGTTGTCAAGCTTTTGTTGAGCAGAAAAGCTAACATCGATGCCCGTGACCGATGGGGCAGCACGGTAATGATTAGTTGTTCTTTTCAATTGAAAGATGTTGATTTTGCATGGATTACGATCAAATTCAGTTATTTGATGTTCCTTCAAAGATAAAAGTTTTTTTTGATGTTTATGCTGTTCGCGTGGTTTTAAATCCCCTATTAAGTTGGTAAACTAATAAAAGGTGAACAGAAATTGAGGGTGGTAAGAATAAGAATGTTGAGATAAATGTGCGCTCATAATGAGTAATGAATTTATCACGGAGAATGTATGAGTTGGTGTTTAGGAATCCGTCCGGAATTATGGTTTCGGCGTGTGTCTGAGAGGCTGGTAGATGCTCCATTAATGTAGAATTCTTAGCTTATATTAAAAGAGGGGAGGATCTAAAACATATGGATAGAGTTTGAAAAGGACATGATGTTCTAACACTGTATAGTTATATTATAATAGTATGTGTGATAACTTAGGTTTGAAATGTTATTTATTGTTCGGTGGTATGGAGGGAGATATGATCCTTCGTTATAGGTGATTTGACATGACGGGATGAAGGCATAGTAGTAGTTGTTGTTGAATTATGTGGAATGGAGGCAATTACGTTTGGTGAATTTTGTTGACGGGTTTCTCAGAATTAATGAGATGGGTATTACGAGTTAACGCATTGTTTGTGGTATAATGTTCTGTAAATTTAAGAGTTCGATGGTTTCTTGTTAGCTTGCTGAGAATTTGCTGATAGGATGTTAACAAGGAAGTTTATCTTTAGGTTCTATCAATTATGAAAATGCTTAGTGGTCAACTCTGCGAGGGCAGTTATTTTTATACCTATTTCCCATTTTTGTATTAACCATCATTGTACATTTGAGAATTCTTTCTGGCTCTTCGTTGTGATAGGCTGCAGCTGATGCCAAATACTATGGGAACATTGAAGTTTACAATATTTTAAAAGCCCGAGGAGCCAAAGCTCCGGTAAGCATAAATATATTTATCTTTTCTACAGTTTCCTTTTCATTTACTCACGTCAATGTGCTATATTCCTAGAAAACCAGAAAGACTCCAATGACCGTCGCTAATCCTCGGGAAGTACCAGAATATGAACTCAATCCCATGGATATTCAAATCCGCAAGAGCGATGGTATCTCTAAGGCAAGGTCCATTTCTCTAGTTTATTATTTTCTTTGTTTTCAGTGAGATATAAAACTCAAGTAGGCATTATGCCTGATGAATTTTACAGTCCGTTGGGAATCAGATTTTCAATTAATAATTGGTTTCTTTTTGTTTTCCATGGTGATGCGTACTTGACTCTAAACTTCTTATCTTTTTTATGAACAGAAAAAATTGGACTACGGAATTTCCTTTATTTATTTTCTTATTTTTTACGTGAACATAAATTGTGCTGGAACGTGTTTTTGTAGTGCATAAGCAAATTAATTTCAATGTGGGTCTGAAATCTGCTTTGACTTCCTCTCTAGCTTTGAGCTGTAACTATTAACCTATGAAGCTAGTTGTACCTGTAGTATCATTTACTTTTATTCCATGTTGAGTGTGACTGCTTTAACATTTTGTGCAGCAATTGTTCCCTGCAATCAATATTCAAGCGGTTTGTTGCAATACTCACCTTTAACAGAAACGAAATCTAGTCATGATTTTGTGTAAACCCTTTATTTTGCCACTAAATTTGTTGGACGCAAAGTGATTTGGACTTGCGAATTTCTGCAGGGATCGTATCAAGTAGCTAAATGGAATGGTACTAGAGTTTCAGTGAAGATATTAGACAAGGATAGACATTCGGACCCTGAAACAATGTATGTGTCTATGATCTTCTAATCTTCCCAGGACCTGTATGTTCTGTTGTTAACAAAGGAAACATGTTCACTTAAAACTAAGCATTTTCCGTTATATTGATCACATGCAACCATCATGCCCAGTCAAAAAACATTTTAATCTAAGTAACCAATTATCTGAATCTAGTCTTAAAGCAATAATTGAGGCTACTAGTACTTGCCATGCTGATTTAAGATAAGCAGTGTAAACTTGTGTGCCCATTTTATTGGGTCGTCCAATATCTTTTCCCCTTTCTGAGCAATGATTCAATTTTGAAAGTCCGTTTCAACCGATATTTTTCTTAACAAATGACTGATAAAATTCAAGGGTTTCATTTTAGTCATGTCCCAATTGACCTCATATCTCCAAAAAAATAAATGTCAATGAACTTTTTATGCTCACGTTTTCGGGATGACGTTTTGTGTAATGTCAGTTTCAATGCATCCATGTGGAAGTCTCATTAAGAGAATAATTCTGCATTATTTGTGTAATATATAGGAATACGGTAAATTGTTTCAAATTGATGAATCTACGACTAAGTCCTTAACATTTTTTTGCAGAAATGCTTTCAGACACGAGTTAACTGTATTAGAAAAGGTCCGGCATCCGAATGTTATTCAATTTGTTGGGGCTGTCACTCAAGATATACCTATGATGATTCTGCTGGAGTATTCAAGAGTAAGCTGTTGTTTCTCTTACATTCTCTAGTTGTATTGCATGTGATTTAATGTTTCTTTCAGTTTTTGTTGTTTGTCAAAGTTATCAATGATCAATTAATATAGATTTGAGGACTTTGAAGTGTTCTGGTACCATTTTTTTTCTTCTCATCTTTCTATCTGGAAATTTAGAAACTACATTATGTGCTCACTAAGATCTGCAACCATTCTTTTTCCGCTTATTGTAATGTGGTTGCCAGCACTGTTCAAAACCTTGCCGCCCCCTGGCTGTTTCTGCATTGAATTGCTAAATGACTGAAATCAGAATCTGGTATTTTCTTTTGTTGCCAGTGCCAGACTACTACTTTGCCAACTAGACATCTAGGGTCCAAATCCTTTGGAAAACAATATTGTCAACATTTTCTAACCATTGGTCTGTGAGTTCCATTCGGCTGCCCAGTCATTACTTTGTAATAGCCTTTTCTGAAACATTTCCATTACCTTCTGTTGCATGTAATAAGAAGCTAGATCAAAACATTTTCTGCTGTTTTGGATTGATAAGATGCCAACATGCAACTGGGGCTTAACTGTTTGGTTCTTTATCATCCAGAAAGTACAATGTCCATGCTTTATCTGATCGTCCATTTCTTCTTAATGGAAACTGCTTTCACCTGGATGCTAGTTTAACTTTCATTGGTATTCAAGTGGCAATTCACTTGCACCAAAATTTTAGTTTGTTTATGATACTAGTTCACACTTAGAAGTGTTTCTTTTAACATCTTGGGAATTTTTCCACTTGTGGATTAGATTAGAATGCATTCCATCGACAGTTTACTCTCCATCTGTTTAATTCCAACTTCGGTTGTATCCACCAAATTGACAGGGTGATCTAGCTACCTATCTTCAAAAAAAGGGACGTTTAAGTCCATCCAAAGCCTTAAGACTTGCTCTTGATATAGCCAGGCAAGCATGCTTCAACTTAACCTCTGATAACTTTGAACATTGAAGAAACTACAGATTTAATTTTCCTGCTTTAATTGCATATAAATAACGTGGTAACATCTTGCTTCTAATTGTTTAACAGGGGCATGAACTATCTTCATGAGTGTAAACCCGACCCAATTATCCATTGTGATTTAAAGCCAAAGTAAGGCAAATAAATGCTGTAATTATTTCTTGGTGAGACTCTTAGTATCTGACTGATTTGTCTGGGAAGCACACTCTTTTTAATATTCGAAATTTTGATAAGGTGCCAGAAATATTTTGCTGGACTGCGGAGGTCAGATGAAGGTTGCTGGTTTTGGATTGATCAGATTGTCTAATATATCACCTGATAAAGCAAAACTTCTGCAGCCTGAGATGCTTGACCGGTCAAGTAAGTTTCTTAATCATTTGTATTTGTCCAACATATGATCACAAGAATGGAACTCATGCATAGAAGGACGTTGTGTGTGTTAACATTCCTGCATGTACACGTACCAAATGTGAAAATTGTAGTTTTTTCCCCCATTCACTCTCACCACTTGTCTTTTTTCTTTGAAGGTTTTTACTGGGCGCCTGAGATTTACAAGGATGAAATATTTGACAGAAGTGTGGACGTATATTCTTATGGTGTTATGCTTTATGAGGTATTATATGGTCTTTCTCTTGAACTTTTGTTGGGTGCTTCTTTATTTTCCTTTCCCTTGTATCTTTCATCAGTACTTGTTTTGTCTTTGCTAAAAGCATTTTGCCACATCCTTTATTTGACTAGACAATAGCTTTTATTATTCTCTTTTGGTATCATCACACAGAGTTCAGTATTTCACTTTCCTCTTGAACGTGGATTTAATACGTTTGTAGATGGGGCATCAATAGCAAACCCGTGTAATACTGCAGAGCATCACTGTTTTAATGTAGATATAATTAGTGAATTCAAGGATAGCTGTATAGGGCGGAGAGAGCTGCAGCCCGGAAACTAATTTTTTAAATGATATAAACAGTCAATATGCTGAACTTTTTGATAAGAATTAGCTCCATTATTGAAGGGAGAATGATGAAAGCAGAATGCTAGGTTCTTTTATAACTGCGAAATACGGGTTGAAGACAAGCAGCCTTTTTCCCAATAGTTTGAAGACCCTGTTTCCTAAATTTTGTTTAGATTAATCCTTTGTCTTGAATTTATTATATTTGTTCTGATACTCCCAATGTGCATGCCGATTGTGTGTTTCCCCTTTGAGCCAATTGGTTAATTGTTGCTCTTTAAGTGTAAAAAAAATTAATGATATGCGTATGTGAAAAGTAAGAAAATAGACTGTTAAGCCAGGCTCTAACTAGTGGGAGTTTTTTCCTTGGAAGTGTAGCCCTTCTTGTATTTTTCTGGTTGGGGAAAAGGAAAAAGAGGAGTGTTTTGGAAGTGCTTATTATTTTATCTAGTGTACAGCGTACGTGCTTCTAAATAGCTGTTTTGTCCTATACCAACAGTGTTGATGCTTTTTCTGAAGGCTCCCTTATTGTAAAATTATTGTTTTCACTATCTCCCTTTCTCATCGATCACCTGCCAGGAAAAGTCCTTCCTTTGGCCCTCTTGGCTTTATGGAATGTTCATTCTTGCTTAACCTTAGTGAAGACTCCAATAAATATTTGTGCAAGAACAGAATTAGGATGCTCTCTTTAGTCTTCTCTTCTATTTGACTATTTTGTCTGCAATATACCTTGCTAATTGGTCATTGTCCTTGGGAAATCATCAATATCATGTTAATTGGTCTGTGTCTGTTCTTTATTGGTTACAGATGTTGGAGGGAATTGCACCTTTTCACCCTAAGCCTGCTGAAGAGGTGGCTAAGATGATGTGCTTAGAAGGGAAAAGACCAACTTTCAAATCAAAGAAAAGTTATCCCCCAGAGCTAAGAGGGTAAGTTCTATGTAACATTTTGCATCGAGTCTCAGCAGTTAAAAGACCTTTAGAGAATTAGTGCAAATCATAGAATGTTGATAATGGTTAAAGTGGTTATGTTAGACTAAATAACTTTACTGGTTTTTTTTGGCTACCTAAGTTGATAGCGTCTATGTTTGTTTCGTTTTTTTAGTGTGTGTTTTTAGGTGTTTTTTGTATTGGGAATGTAAAAAGGTGTGTTGGAAATGTAAAATGGTATGCTGAGATGGGACAGTTATTAATAAAATAAATTGAAAAAACCATCAAAAAAATCAAACAAACAGAGTAACTTTTCCAGTTTGCTTGTCAGCTTGTGAAACAATAATAATTAGCTTCTAAAAAGCCTGATGGTGGTGGTTCTCTCCTTTGCATAAATATTCTCCTGTCATATTTACCCCAGCCGAGTCTGCAGTTGCAATGTTTTCCATGTGTCTTGGATATTCACATGGTACACTGATGATTTCTGTGGGTAACAATTTTCTTGTTCAGGTTGATTGAAGAATGTTGGAGTCCAGAATCTGTCATGAGGCCAACCTTCTCAGAAATAATAGTACGGATGGATAGAATCGATGCTAACTGCTCCAAACACGGATGGTGGAAAGACACTTTTAAGCTTCCCTGGTAAGATTTACACGAAGCAGTCACAATTCTAAAACCATCTCACGTTTTCCCTGCATTATGATTTCAACCTCTTTCTGCATGATGCACTTATCTAAAGCTAACTGGCACGCCATGATTGTTAGCCCCTAAGCTGGTCATTCATTTTCCGGGTTTTACTCTGGTTTTAAGGTTCAAGGCTCGAACTAAATCAAAGTTCAGTTGTTACGTCCCTCCCCAAGGTCGTCAAGCAAACATTCTTACTGCCAGAAACAAAACTACGTAAAGATACCAGCTTTTGCAGCAGATTTTGATTTTGAATGCCGGGAAAACATGCAAATGATGCTAATTGTTTCTAAAATACTTGACATCATCGTGCTTCTATATGTTATGCATTTGCTCAGCTTTGTTTTCTGGGTTCATCATAATTGTCAATCTCCATGCAGGTTGTAGTGGAGGACCTCTTCAAAGCGACGGTAATTTGACGGGGTCTCTTCGATATATACCTGGAAGGGTTTTGAGCAATTTGTACCTAGCCAATAAACCCTCGGAAACCATAGGTTGGCTGGGCTGGAGGATATTTTGTGCACTACATTTCTGCCATCCTTTTTGCATGAAATCATGCCTCTTTTCAAGCTAAAATGATTTGATGTAATGAGATGTACTTCTTCTTGCTTTTTATTTATCAATAAAAGGAAAAAAGAAAAAGAAAAACAGATTGGTCCTTTTTTCAGAGTGCCAAGCATATCTAAAAGATGCCAAATTTAGATGTCATTCAAATTGTGAGAACTGAGGATTATAAATTTATTACTAAGAGTGGACTACGGCATTTGGGTAATCTGAGTTATGACGTAATTCCATACCTGAAATTTTAATGACGATAAAATCAATAAAAATTAAGGGTGATGATATTGCCGAAACAAATAATAACATCCAAAACAAATTTGTTGTAAGAAGACACAAATATCCTTTTGATTTATCACTTGATTTTCGTCCCTTTGTTCGTTCAAAACACCACCGCCTCCTGCCTTTCTCCTCTCGCCTCCGGTCTCCATTTTCCCAAACTCATCAACTTCTTTAGCACTGTTCATAATGAATTCAAGCAGAAATTCATCTATAGCAAAACTAATAATTTCGAGCTTATGGACTATGAAATAGACAACACTTCAAGCCCTAGTATTTAAAAGACAAAGTATGTATTTGGGATAGTTTTTTCAACTGTCAAGCAACAAAATTAAATTCTCATTGTAGAATTGAACAAAATCCCTTTTAATTTTGATATTGCTCGAAGCACAATTAAATATATTCTTTGTTTCCCCAAAAGCTGTGGGGCTAAGAGTTGGACTCCAACTTTGCTATATTGATAAGATTCGGGTATTTGATTTAAGTTTGAGAGAAAATAGATTGCGAGTGTTTTCATTTTATTTTCGAATTCATATAGCAACAGGTAGGATGGCAAGATCTTGAGGTGAAAGAATTAGATGGAATTTGAACTTGAAGCAATCTACCACAAAGATTAAAGACTCCTCGATTTCAAAGCTTTAAGCGTGAAATTGGAATCAATAGTGAGCATAAAACAAATCTACAAGAATGATTTTGTTAAATTGTTGCAAAAAAAAAAAAAAAAGTGGGAACGATGATGAATTATTTGGGAGTTGCGAGTAGTTAAGGGTAGTTTAGGAAACAAAAGAAAAATCTGTTTTGGAGAGTAATAATTATTTTGGCAATATCACTAGTCAAAAGTCAAAGATCGGGATGGACAAATTTTTCGTGAAAAATAAAAGAGGATTTCAAGGGAGGCCAAAGCAAAGGCAAATGAAGTCATGAAGGAGGACATAGAATGATAGAAGCATGACGATCATTGGGAGTATGATTTACCTTGTCCGTTCATTTTGTAGTATATCATTTTTTTCATAGGAAATTTATTAGGACTAATAAGACACTAAAATAAAGTTATTACAATACGAAATCTCTCTTATTATTTAATAAATTCATGCAACTCATCATAAAATCGATTAGTGCTAAATATATTTTTCCCTTGTCAAGTAACTTTTGGTTACCTCTTATATTAAAGCGAATTCTCTTTTACCAACAAATACTTGGTCCAAATAATAAAAATATTGGGCCAATTTAATTATTACCTAAAATCAAATTGGGCATCCCAAAGGGACCTGCATGGTTCGAATTTAGATTAGTCGAAATAATGATTTTAAAGATGGAAAACAAATGAAAAACAGGTGACGACGAAGTAATAGAAAATCAACTTGAGTTAAGGGGGAAAAAAAGGTTATTCAAAAGAGAAGCAACTTTCTCGTAATGATAAAGAGATTCTTATCAAAAGTGTTACTCAAACAAACCCTACTTATACAATGTCTTGTTTTCATTTACATGATTCTATTATTCATGGTGTTACTCAAACAAACCCTACTTATACAATGTCTTGTTTTCATTTACATGATTCTATTATTTATGATATCAGTGCCATGTATTATTCTTACAAGTGGGGAGAATCGAAAAATAAGATGGATAAATTAGAATAAGATGACGCGATCAAAGGATATTGGCGGGTTTGGTTTAAAGGATTTGAAATATTTTAACCTTACTCTTTTCAGTAACAGGCTTGAAAAATTCTTACTAATCCAGGCTCTTTGCTAGTTAGAGTTCTCAAAGCTAAATACTTTCCACACACTACACTATTGGATCCAACATCAGGAAATGGATCGTCTTTCACTTGAAGAAGTATTATGGATGAAAAAAATACACTTTTATTAGGCTATAGAAAGCATATTCATTCTGGGAGGCATACACGCATTTGGATAGATAGATGGCTTCTGAGATGCCTGACTTTCAGGCTCATAGTCCTTTCTTTGTGTTGCCTCAAATTTTTGTGGTTGCTGACTTGATTGATCTTGATACAAGTTTGTGGAAAGCAGATCACAGGAAGATTGCAGTATGTTGTCAATGATTCCAGGCAATTCTTCAAATTCAGGCTGATAGATTTGGCATATTTCTCATAATGGCAAATTCAATGTTAAGTTGGCATATCTGATGGGAATGATCTTTTCTCGGAAAAGTTTTGGCGACTTAATCTTCTCAACAAAATCATCTAATTTAGTCAAACGTGGCTGCTTCTCGGAATCTCCATGTCCTCTTTGCCACGCTGCTGCTCCTTCAACTCTTCACACTTTCTTCTAGTGTCCTTTTGATGTTCAAGTGTGGAACAATGCAGGGTTACAAGATCAAATTATGCTTCATCACAAGCCAAGATGGGATCTATGGATTCAACAAATTATTGTAAAATGTGACAAGGCTGTTGCTGAGTTTGCAGGTGCACTATGCGACTCCCTGCGGTATGCTTGAAATAGCTTGTTTGGCATGACATGCTTTGGTCCTCACATTTTAGTATCAAATGTGGTTTGCATGCTGAAAAATTTCCAAGCTGTTAATGGCGATACTGCAAGGTTATCTCATTCACTATGTTTTTGTCATTTAATTGCTCCAAAAGATTTGAATACGTATAATTTCTTTAATGGAGCAGTCTCTATAATGAGAAATTGTATTGGAACAGGGGTATATGTTCGAAATTAGTCTGGAGATTTTGTGATGGCTCATGGTCGATGCATTAGAGTATCCACAACAATGGTTTAAAGCAAGTGTAATGTTAGATTATTATACACGCATATCATTAGACTGAGTTTAAAGAACTTTTTGTGTGTAAGCAGATTCAAACGGTGTTATTCTGTCATTTGTGGGCCGAGGAACATTAATGAGAAGAAAGAGAGAGAAGTTCTCTCTCATTTCAGTCTCTCTCCTTTCTTTTTGGCCTTTTATAATTTTTTTTATTGCATTTTAATTGGCATTGATGGCCAAGTGGTGGGTCCTAGTTGATTTGTGTAAAATTTTAACCATTGGAGAAAAAAATATAAATAAATAATGTCAGATAAAATGGTGATGTGGCATTGAAATGGTGTGCAACCGATTGAGATGCTCTTAAAGGTTTTATCAATACTGAGCTCGCTGAATTTTTTGCATAAAGGATGCTTTGCTGCTAGTCAAGGAGCTTAGTCTCAGCAATGTATCCATTCTAGTAGACTCTTTTAGCAGCACTTGGAGAAGCCGCATGTTGTTCACTTTATATACCTGTGCTGTTCGAAATGAAACAACTCTTAGAAGAATTGTCCTTTTACGCTTTATATTGGATTCCTAAACATAAAAGTAAAGTAGGACATGTAATTACTACTCATATAAATTCTTATGTAAACAACAATATAATTTGGTCATTACCGCCAAGTTATTTGTATCATTCCAGGTTGGCTGTCTTCCAGCAAATTTAATATATTTCTTCTTTCAAAAAAGAAAAAAGAAAAAAGAAAAAAGAAAAAAAGAAAAAGTTAATAACAAAAACATCATCCTAGATTTATTTGATCACTTAAAGTACCTTTTATGTTCAAGAAAATATAAAAAATATCTCTAAATCGGTGAATCAATTATCAAAAGGATTCTCGGGTGATTTAAAATTTATATTTACGCATAAACTCAGCCAAAAAGTGTCAGGAAAATATTTGTACCCCTTAAAACTCTCTTGAAATTTTTTCTCAAGGTCTAATAAAATTATATATCAACTTCTAAATTCAAAATTTAGTCTTTTACAAGCCCTCAAAAACTGAATGTTAGATTTAGATATGAATATTTAATTTATTAGAGTTTCAAAAAGATTTAAGGATGGTTTGGTTACAAGTGTCTTTTCAACACTTTTTGATTGAATTTATGCGCATACGTTAAATTTCAGTTGTCCAAAAAACTTTTTTGATAATTGAATTACTGATTAAGAGATATTTTTGATATTTTTTAAACAATATGAGTATTTTAGGGAGATATTTTTGATATTTTTTAAACAATATGAGTATTTTAGGGAATTAGTTAAACCTCGGAGGTGTTTTGATATTAATCCAAAAAAATAGAAAATCAACTCATTTGACCCACACCCGAAGTATCTAACGGTTTGGATTGCTCCAAAACATGGAGATGCTACACGCGGATGTACTCAATCCTAGCCCATAAACCCTCTCGGACCAACTTATTGTCTTTTTCTTTTTCCATTTTTAATTATTATTTTCCCGAAAACCCCTCAGTCCGCCAACCCCTTCTTCAAGTTTTCACATACTCGCACACTAAAATCAAAATTGTTACTTATTAGTACTACAAAACTACGAAAAACTCTGCTCCTGCTCTCTGCTTCATCGCCTCGCCGGAAGACGATTTCGGTCTCTCTGCGGTATCGGAATTCGTTTGCGTTTATTTGGAACGGAGACGATTGCTGTAAGTGTAGGAACTTGTTCGCAACGTTATCGTTTTGAACTTGTTTTTCTTTTCTTTCTTATTTCGCTGAAAGTGTTCGGAACGCGGTCTTGTTTTTGTTGCTTTGATTTCTGTTATTGTGTTGTTTTGAGCGATTTTCGTTTTGGTTTGCTTGATTTTCATGGTTATGAGTCTAATTATTGGTGTGATTCTGCGGGTGTCGGGTGTGTGCTTTTTTTTATTATTTTTTTTCTTTTTTTGGAAATGTTGAAGTAGGTGATTATGTAGTTTCTGTGTGTTTACTTGTGGGAATTTGAAACCAATCAGCCACATCCCTCTGTTCATAATTTATGTTCCATCAGCAGTTTTCAAGAATTTTGGCCTTCAGTTGTCAATATTTCATTTTTTCCCCCCCTTTCATTACCAGGTTTTTTATTGGTGCTACTGGGAGATGCGACCATTGCCATCTGCTTAAAAGATTTAAATTCTTGTAAATGGCTTCTCGAGCTATTTTAAGGAAGAGGAAGATTTTTAGCGATTACTTGAATGTATCATCAGCTCGGTGTGTTCAAAATTTTCAATATCTAGGTCATGGTTCGGGGACTGAGAGTTTAGGTGCATGCCGGTTTAGCTCCCTTGCGCACCAGTGTCAATCTGGTTCAGATTCCTCAAGGGATAGCAGTGAAGCAAAATCTGTTAAAGCCGAACTGCTGAAATTCACAACATCAGGACTTTATTGGGAGAGATGTAACGGAATTGCTGTTTCTGGCTATAGAACTAGCAAGTTGGACCTTATTTCTCCCTTCGGAGTAAGATTGGTGTCAGATTCTGCCCGGTTTGCTTCTACTGCCACAGCAAAGCAACCTAATATTGGTAGTGATGATGAGGAGAGCGAGGAATTGGTTGCAAAAAAGAGGAAAGAAGCTTCACCAGAGGAATGTGATGAAGCAGTTGTTGATTTGAGCACTGCAAAGGCAAAAGCCAAAGCAAAGCAGTTGCAAGAGTCCCAAAGAGTTGCCAAATCTATTCTCAGGAAAACATGGGCTACATTATTAGGGATTGGTCCAGCTCTGAGAGCTGTGGCTTCAATGAGCAGGTATATGCATCACCTTGTCATTGTTGAATATGTATGTTCTTGATTTTACCATGTACTCCTCATTTTGTTGTTTATTCAGGGAAGACTGGGCCAAGAAACTTGTTCATTGGAAGAATGAGTTCAAGTCAACACTGCAGCATTATTGGTTGGGTACTAAGCTTCTTTGGGCTGATGTGAGGATCAGTTCGAGATTGTTATTGAAGCTTGCTGGGGGAAAGAGTCTCTCCAGGAGGGAGAGACAACAACTGACACGAACTACTGCTGATATTTTCAGACTCGTCCCGTTTGCAGTTTTTATAATCGTTCCATTCATGGAGATTTTGCTACCTGTGTTTCTAAAGCTGTTCCCAAATATGCTACCATCTACGTTTCAAGATAAGATGAAAGAAGAGGTGTGCTTACCTTCTTCTCCAAGTTTAAAACAATGCATAGTTTCAAATTCAAAGCTCTTAACTTCTCGTAGTTGGAAGATTTCAAATTTAAAGATGACCAGCCTTCCCTGCAATATTTGCCATTTCTTAAATGCTTTTTTGGTTTCATCATTCGAAGCCATTTGATCAATGAGTCAGCAGGATGGATACCTGTGGCTTCCTTTTTTTTTTTTTTAATTTCTTTATTTGGAAAATGATTCAAGTAGATATTTTAATACCTCTAGTATTGCACAAGTACATATGTTTGCATCATCAAGTAACGCATTGCTGAAAAGGTAAAAGTTACCCTAACTCTTCATGCTTTATGTTACTTTGGCTTGTTTTTCAGGAAGCTTTGAAGAGGAGGCTAAATGCTAAAATGGAATACGCAAAGTTCCTTCAGGAAACTGCCAAAGAGATGGCAAGGGAAGTTCAGAACTCGCGGAGCGGAGAAATGAAGAAAACAGCAAAAGATCTGGATGAGTTTCTAAGCAAGGTCAGATATCATGGATAAGGAATTGGCTATTGGTTTCTTAAGATTGCGTTCATTTTAGAACCTTTCATTGTAAATGCAGGTCAGAAGAGGTGCTGGCGTTTCGAACGAAGAAATACTTGGTTTTGCCAAGTTGTTCAATGATGAACTCACTTTAGATAATATAAGCAGGTTTGTTTCATGTTTTATTCTTCTTAATTGCCGATGAGGTGGTTTCTTTGCCAAAATTTGTAACTGTTGGGTCTTTTGCAGGCCTAGATTACTAACTATGTGCAAGTACATGGGAATCAAAGCTTTTGGAACAGATGCTTATCTGCGGTTCATGCTTAGGAAAAAATTACAAAGGTGAAGCCAGTCTGCCCTTTTTCATGCCATAGTTTGTCATTCCTGGCCGTTTCTATTTATTTTAGTTCTGTTATTGCCTTGATAGGGAGCCTTCTGGATTGCTTTCGATTGATTTAGGGTAAACATAGGTCTCTGATTTGTTATGATCAGATGATTTTGATTCTTTCTCCACTGGTCAATTGTCGTCTTGTAGTTTAAAGAAAGATGATAAATTAATTCAATCGGAGGGTGTGGATTCTCTATCAGAGGCTGAACTTCGTGAAGACTGCATGGAGCGTGGCATAGTGGTGCAAGATTCAGTTGAAGACATGCGACAACAGGTATTTTTACCTTCGATGTGTGTGGATCCTGTTTTTGTTTCCTCGTTGTCATCTGGCTATGATAATGGAATGATATTCTGAGTCCAAGCAATTTAGAGAATCAAATTTGGATTGCACCACAAAACTGCACGTTATGGATTTGTTTTTTTCTTTCATTTTTTTCCCGTTTTCTTTCTTTAAAACTGCATGTTATGGATATCTTAATAGTGTCAGATCTGTTTAATCTAGAAGTTTTTGTGTGCTGGTTTTTGTAGTGTCACTCAGTGAGATCGTTCTCTATTCTACTAAGTTTACACTTTATATCCGTAGAAGAAATCAAGAATGTAAACATGTGTCCACTTGAATAAATTTGTCTCAGATGTACCAAAGAAGGTGCAATAAATATGTTGTCATAAGCATTTCATTGCACAATATTTTGCATTCAAAAATTTCTTTGGAATTCAAAGCAGAGATGCCACTGTATAGAGCAATACCTTGTGCACGTGCTTCAAGAGGGTGTAGTTATTTCAGCAACACTTGATGCCATCGGTGCATAAGTTTTACCTTCTTTATAGGTGAAGACATCGTCTGTTTGCATCTAGGTATAAAGAAAAGGAAAAAAGGTTGTAGATGGGACATTCTGTGTTGTTAGTCATGTTGTTTTAAAAGATAGTATCATTCTTATTTGTGATAGATCATTTTGATATTGGTTATTAAAAGGTTTTACTTTACTTTCGTGTCATTGTAGCTTCGTGATTGGCTGGATTTGTCATTGAATCACTCCGTACCATCATCACTTATGATTTTGTCAAGGTACACATTAAAACTATTTTCGATGCAATTCTTGTATGATAGACTGCTCTGATTGCTTGAATGATGTGAACAGAGCCTTTGCTGTTTCTGGGAAGGTGAAACCTGAGGAAGCTGTCAGAAATACCATGATTTCTCTGCCTGATGAGGTTGTTGATATTATTGGCATCACATCTTTGCCATCTGAAGACCCAATTGACGAAAAGAGAAGAAAGTTGGAGTACCTTGAGATGCAAGAGGAGCTTATTAAGGTGAAGATCTCATTTTTGGCCGTAGTGAACCTTTTCTTTTTTAAAGTTCACAGGCGAACTTTGGTGTTTCTAGTTTCTTTCTTTTTGTTTTTAATAGTTAATTCACTGAATTCAACTCATTCATTATTAGGAGGAGGAAGAGAAGCGGGAAGAGGAGGAAGCCAGGAAGAAACAAAGTTCTGTTAGTGAAGAGGATTTGGCTCTGAAAGAGATGACCAGTTCAACAGCTAGAGAGGCTCAGGAAGCAGCCAGAGCAAGAGCAATTGACAAAGGAGACCAACTTTGTGAAATCAGCCGTGCGTTGGCTGTTTTAGCTTCGGCTTCTGTAAGGACCAGGTCTCAATTTGTTTAACAGTCAATTGTTTTTAGTATCAAAGTTCTAATATTGCTTCTTTTGTCCGATATTCAGTCTGTGAGCAGGGAGCGTGAGGAATTCCTAAGACTAGTCAATAGAGAGGTATTCTATCATGTTGTATGAAGTTTACTATGATTAAGAAGTTCCCAACTTGAGTTTACTGTTTCTGTTCTTTGTTGTGTGTGCTCCTTTTTTCTATTTCTCCTTGAAATTCTTAACTTTTCAACTGGAGTTGAGCCATTTGAATATACCGTGGACAATGAATCATGTAGTTATTCTTGGTTGATTACACCTGCTGCTGGATACATATGTTAGTGGTGATAGAAAGTGATTCTTGAATTTTTGATGTTAACACTCGCATGTTGTCATTTTGTGATGATGCATAGATGTTTCAATTTGTTAAAGCAAGTTCTTTCGTACTTTCAGATTGAACTCTATAACAGCATGATAGACAAAGAAGGCATAGATGATGAATTGCAAGCACAGGAGGCATATAGAGCTGCTCGTGAAGAAAGTGAAGATACTGATCTGGCTGAGAAACGTGAGGTTTCATCTGCACTTATTGACAAGGTAAAACTGGTAGTTTCTTTTTGTAACCAGTGGCCACAGGGGAGAGCTGTACCTAGATAATGGAAGTAGGAAGGAGAGATTGGGGAAGTTGGAAAGTAGTACTTCGTAATTTATCATCTACTGTCCATCCGAAACTAATTATTCTTCCGTTTCACTTGCTTCAGGTTGATTCCATGTTGCAAAATCTGGAGAAGGAAATTGATGATGTGGATGCAAAGATTGGTGATCGTTGGCGAGTACTTGATAGGTGAGTATAGTACTTGTTGATTGAGCTTGGTTTTTGTTTTCTTTTTGCTACATAAGCTTCTTGCATTACTTCCCTACTTCGCTCCATTGGAAAATCAAATATGTGACGGTTCATTCTTTTCCTTTTTTTATTATTTTTTATTTTTTATCACTGTATTGCACCTGAAAAAATCACTAGATACTTGAGAACTGCATAATTAGGTAAAAGCTAAAACTTCCTAGGTGTTCATAAATTAAGTACTAATTATTTGAGTTACTACTTTCTCTAATTCCTCTATGATAGGAGCTCTGATTGGGATGGAATTGTTTTATCATTTGGTATTGGTGTTGACATCCTTTTGGGCATCTTTTTGCTGAAAGTTCCATATGTTTTCATATGTGTGACACAAAGGGGTTGCTTCTCCTCTGCTTTCCCCCCTCATTTTTGGTTATTTCCACTTCTTTCATTAGTGCGTAAGGAAGATTGGCCCCTCTTAAAAAACTAGGTCAATCTGTTGCATTTAGATTATTAGTTATTCTCAGTTTTTAGTTAGAAGCAACAGTGTTTTTTCTTGGTTACATTTAGCTGTACACCATTTAGAATTGTGCTTAATGAGCTTATTGTGCAGAGATTATGATGGTAAGGTCACTCCGGAAGAGGTGGCAGCTGCTGCTTCGTACTTGAAGGACACTTTGGGCAAGGAAGGGCTTCAGACACTTATCAGCAACCTTTCAAAAGATAGAGGTTTGAACTCTTCCTCTTGAGTCGCTTAAATTTTGTTACTTCTGTTTATCCAATATTGGGTTTAAATTTTTGTGATATGCAAGAATTTTGATATTCTGTAATGGAACACATAACAATGTGGTTTTTATTTTATTTTTGTTTTGTACTTGTGAATAGTGTATGACGTGTGGGTTGTCTCCTGCTCTTATAGTGCTTACCATTGTCTTAATCCATCTTTATCCAGATGAGTAGGAGTTTCAGTTATGGTTAGGCTCTATAGTAATTATTGATATCGTGCCAGTATTTCTACCAAAAAAAGGAAAAAAGAAAAAGAAATTAGTATCAGTAATGAAATCATTTCGAAAGAGTTAAGATAGTACTTGTTTCAACTAATACTTCAATGTGATTGATTGGGAACTGTTCTAGGTAGAGGCTTTTGTTTTGTTTTCATCACTGGAAATTTGCTGTCATGAGACAAATGTTTATCGTTTCGTGTCTTTAGTTCTTCTGACATTCTGTGGAATGAGTAAAAGTTTGTATAACAATGGACAAGCTGATTGATGCATCTTAACTTCGGTTCCACTGATATTTGATTGCTGCAGCATCTTAGTTCACTTTCTTAGTTTAACTTCTAGTCTGTCCTGTGTCAGTTTTTGATGTGATTTTCCGTTTCTGTAAACATGACACAGATGGAAAAATTCTCGTGGAAGATATCGTGAAGTTGGGCAGTCGAGCTGATGACGCTGGTACAGCTGATTCTGAAGAGGTGTAGAGGTATCATACTGCGGTAGTTTTTGCTTTAACATTGGCATAACATAGTGCAATTTCAATTAGAAGTCTAATTAACAAGCAGTGGCATTTTGAGCATTTGCAGCTTTGTCTCACTGCTTGTACTTAGTTGCGGTGAATATATGTTGCTATAGGGCTATTATCTCGAATTGATATGCAAACAAGGGTCAACTTATAAGCAAAGCTAACACAGGTAGGTTTTATGCTGCTAGTTGCTGGAAAAACATAAAAGCAAATCTTACATATTTGACATTATCACTTTTATATATTACTTCATCTATCCCAAAATTATTCCTTTTTGAAATATCAGTTTTAATTCGATTTGTACTAGAAATGAAAATTTAAACTCGACAATAATTTCGGAACGAAGGGAGTATATGTTTTCTGGTTTTAGATTTGTGGGGTTTTCGCCTGTTTGTTGTGGTTTTATGAACAGCTCCTGGGGTTTTTTGCTTTCCTCTTTTTGAAAGCCAATCAAAATCAATTTTGTGCACTACGCTTGTATGAATAATTGAATATCTCTACTTAAGATGTTTTGTGGTGATCTGTTGGCGGAGCTTTGCACTTCGTTTACCATACTCCTTAAATCCAAAATGAATATCCAATGTTATGAATTACTAGTATAAATTTTAAAATTCAATATAGATTTTTTTTTTAAAACAAAGGTGCAATATTTAATTATATTGTTATTGTAGAAATTTTAAAATCCAATATGAATCCTTTTTTTGGAACAAAGGTGTAGTATTTAATTATCTTGTTATTTACTAAATGAATTTATTGTCTTGACTATTCCTCTTGGAACAAAAAAAGTACCATTATAAACTAATTATTGTATTTTTCTGTTCTGAAATTATTATCCAATTTGGATTTTCAGTTTTACTACAAATTAAATTAAAAATGAAAATTCAAATCCATCAATCATTTTGGAATTAAGGGAATAATTGTTATGTATCCATTATGATTTCGGTGCCATGTGTACTAGTCACTAGGCACTAAAATCAGCTTAAAAGTGAGGCAGCGAAATCCTCTATGTTTCTTTCGGAACTCCCGCCTTCACTTACAGCTTCAATAGCCAATTCTTTCCATTTTGTGGCGTTTCTTCTAATCTCTTTCCCGTTGTAACCCTCAGTAATATCCCTAATACACCTCTCAAATTCATCTCTGGTGACGATTCCCTTCTCATTAACCTTAACCCTGATCCCAACTTTCCAAACATCTGCGATAAATTTGGCGTTTGTAGTTTGATCAACCCATTGCGGCACTGCAATCATTGGGACCCCTGAACTCAATGCTTCAATGGTGGAATTCCATCCACAATGTGTCACGAAACACGCCACCGCCTGGTGGCCTAAAACATCCAGCTGAGGGCACCAGTTTATGATCAAACCTTGATCTGATGTATCGTCCTTGAAACTTGTTGGAAGCTTACTCTCTTCTTCACTTCTCACTACCCATAGGAACCTGCATTTGATCTTCAATAGGGCCTCTGCTACTTCCTCTATTTGTTCTTTGACTGGGGCTGCTATACTTCCGAATGATACGTAAACAACAGAACTTGGTTCCCTTTGATCCAACCACTTCAAGCAAGTTTCTGTGTTGGTCTCAAACAAATAGTTCTCCTGGTGATCATTTGTAGTGGTGTTTTTGAGTTTCTCGTGGGCAAAAGTTAATGGTGATGTTGGTCCAACTGTTTTGATTGGCCATCTTTTTGCCATCCAAGTTGCCAGCTGATCAAATTGTAAGATATAAGCATCAATTCTTTCAACTCAACCAGTTCTTAAACTGTAGTTATCATCCCAATCGAGAAAAATTGGTATAGATGAATAGTTTTGAATGATGCAACAAAATGATAACGAAGCATGAATGAGAATAATAAGTTTATATGTGAGTGAATTAATTAATTACCTCAACCTCCAACTTCTCAAAAGTGTTGAACAAAATGTAATCCGCTTTGTCGATGTTTGAGAACTGATCAGTGAGCAGCCTTGTAATGGTACCATTAGGATCAGGAAAATATTGCAAACCAGGAAGATCATCAAACTCCAAAGGTGGCATTGAAGGCAATCTAGTGATTATGTCCTTTTCAAAGGGAACTTTTATTGTCCCATCACCCATATGATAGTAAACAGTACAAACAGAACAACACTGAGTGAAGAAAGAAGCTCCCTTAACTCCCATGGGGTGAACCACATCCAAAATCCATGGCATGGTTGAGTCATAAATCACAACTTTAGGTAAGGAATACCCATTTTTCTTGAATTTCTCAATAAGATCTTTCAACCCTTTTGAAGCAGCAGCCCTGAACTTCCTGAAATAGTCATCCATGTCCCCTTCAGCATCTTGGTGTTCCAATTCATCTTCAATGCATTCAATATTGATTCCATTTCCACTTGCTTTTGATTGCACAGATTTGAATGTGGCAGTGGTGGTTATGAGCGTGATTCGGAACCCTTTCGCCGTGAGGCGGTTGCACAGATGCAACAGGGGATTTATGTGGCCTTTGGCTGGGAATGGAAAAGCAAGAATGTGAGCGTCGCTAGGCAGTGTAATGTTGTCTATGCTTCCCATCTTTTATTGCCTTTTGTTGTGGATTTTTCTTGTATGGTGAGGAGTTGAAATTAGTGATATATAGAGGAGTGGTGGAAATCTACAAGTGAGAATGAACATTTTTTGCACTTCATGGCAAATAGAAGTGTCCAAGGCAATGTTGGCATTGATAATATCCTCATTATACAAGAAAAGATTTGTGAAATAATTTTTCATATAGAGTAATGGTGAAAAAAAAAAATTGCACTCTCCTTTTGTCTAACATCACCATATTCATATGGAAGCTGTTGCTATGGAAGCTGCAAGATTTTCTTCTTCTTCTTGTTCTTCTTCTTTTTCCCCTTCTTGTAATCAATTTAAAAGAGAGCTTTAAAAATAAATTTAGGACTCATAGGTACACTTTCCTTACTCTAACATAGGGATGAAAATTAACGATCAGTGATTAAATTGTTTTGTTATTTCTTGAAAACAATTTATCTTTACAAGTTCATCGATAACGGCATTTGCTTAAAGAGTTTGCTATTTTTTCTTTTTTAAATAGATCATTTTCGGAAAAGAATGAAAAATGATGCACAATTAAACATTACTCTCTTTGTCCCAAAATTATTGTCCAGTTTGAGATTTCATTTTTAGTACAATCTGAAATAAAAATGAAAACTCAAACTGGACAATAATTATGGGACGGAGGGAGTACAATGTATCCTTGCTATATCATACATGCTGAAAATCAATTTACAATGATGTTCAACAACTTTTCAACTAAGTTCAACTGTAAGAAGAAAAAAAGTGAATCGTACATTTATGTTTTTCATTGAAGTTTCAACTCTGCCGATCACAAAACAAAAATTAAGAAGAGGAAAAAGAGGAAGAAGTTACTGCATTCTATTATCGGTGGATTTCGAATTCGGTAGGTTCTAGTACTTACCGTTACTATCATTTATTCCTTCAGCTCTAAAATGGATGTCCAGTTTCCATTTTAATTTCTAGTAAAAGTTGTATGAAAATTAAAAATTTAAATTGGACAATTATGAACAGAAAGAGTTTTTTTTTTTTTTTGTGGTTTCAATAATAGAAATAATTCCCCAGTATTTTCTTCTTCTTCTTCTTATTTTTTTTTACTTTTATTTTTTATTTTTATAAAAAAAGACCTTTGTCTTCATCACCAATCAATCTGGCGGATGTGTCTAAGCCAGATTACTACATTACTACCAATGCATATCAAATAATCTTTTTAGTAGAATTCGAAATTTGGGATTTTGCAGCCACAAAAAGAATGTATGGCCAAAGCAAAGTAGAGTTCGACGAGTGATCCAAGGGATTCGGCTTGGCGGCTGCGCATCACGATGCCAACATAAACCTCTTCTATTTGTTGTCTTTTGTATTGAGGTTAAATTTCGAACCAAATAGTTTGGAGGTTGAAGATTTATATGAAAAAGTTTTTCTGTAACTTTTTGCTTTTGGCAAAACATTGGAAGATTCTTATTTGCCACCTACACATGACACTTTAGATTCTCAGAGCGGCAGCTTCGCCAAATTAGCTGATGGTGAACTATATATCGGGTTTACCTAGTTGAGTAAATCCTGTCTTCGTGTCGTAAAATTGTAGTATTACACTATTTATAAATAATTAAAGTGTCTGCCAGATCGTTGTTGTTGTTGGTTTTTTTTTTTTCAGTAGACTCCACTTAAACGTGGATAAAAACCTCTTTACAAACTATTTGATGGGAATCACCACTTTATCAAGAAAGATAACACCCTAATCACTAGACTATCATTCAATTCCCGTGTCAAATCGTTAATTCTTATGTTCATTTCGGGAAAATGTTAGTATCCTAATTATTATAACACGCGTCAATTCTTTAAAAGATGTCAAATCAAAGTTCGTATCGTAGTTAGTTCTTAATGTTATTTCCTTTCTTATGAAATTATTTAACAGTTTAGATACTCACTTTTTTTATAAAATGAACTATAAATTAAAATTCAAATTAAACAATAATCAGGACATAGAGAGTACCAACAAAGAGAACTAAAAACGGAATCCCTCGCTCTGTTACTGGTCAAAGGTGGATGGATCGTATATCAAATTAGGACTGCAAATAATCATTTGGACTGACCCATTAATAAATAATAAGACAATGGGCTATGGCGATGACCCATTACCCATCACCTCCTACTCGTTTGATGGAAGGAATTTTGGACACTTTTATAGGTTAGGGCCACAGAAGAATAGGTCGGAACCTTGCCTAGCTAAAAGCCTAAAATATGCTGCAGAAGATGATCTCTTTTCGGCTACTACAAAAGGACGCCTGAGTAAATGTTTAACTTTTATTTCGACAATGAATGTTTTGTTTAGTTATTTCGTAACTTTCATTTCACTTTTTTTTTGGGTGCGAAGAAAAAAATATACATTTTCAAATGTACGTGACGAAAATGATTTTTTTACTTAAATATATGGAACTTTTTGTGTGATTTAATATTTTCCCCTGCATTGCGCGGCAATTATAAATAAAGGAGGAAAAAATTATGAGTAAAGGGAAAAACTATGATATACGGTGATACAAAATTTGACATGTGAATCACCAAAATCGGTTTGGAAATACACATAGGTTCGAGAACTTTCCAAAAATTGACGACAGATGAGTTGGTGTTGTCTGTATCAACAAAGATAAAAATCAGAGTAGTTTTTTGGAAAATCTCAAAATAGGAAATTGTTATTTGATAATCGCTTAAAACGTAAAGCAACTTTCTTACAAATTCCTTTCCAAAGATATTGTCGGACGCCATCCATAGTATTCAATAACCATGTTGATCCCGCGTTGCACACAAGGAACATTTCAATAATTAACAAATATTGTATTGAATAAACAAAAAAGAACAACGATACAATCTAAGGGAATGTATACCTCGGAAGCAGGAAGTTGTGGTTAACAGTTTCCTATAGATTATAGAGATGGAGCATTTTGAAGTTGTTTAGTAGTTACTACCTCTACCTTTTTTTTATTTTTTTATTTTTAAAATCTGTCACATTAAGGTATACTCAAGTATTAAGGAAATAAAGGTTAATGTTTTATTTTTAAGTATAATGCCTCTCTTACATTAATTAAATAACAAGTATTGAGGCTATATAATTAAAATTGAAGTAAAAAAAAGAAATTGTCATTAATATGTGTTATTAAAAGTAAATAGCGATAAAGGGGAAATTAAAAAAAAAATTGTATTGAATGTTGCAGTGGAAATAAAGTGTGACACATAAAAAATTGTCTTGAATTCAACTTAAAGTGAGTGATAAAAAAAGCTAGAAGTATTCTATCTTCACTTATCTTTTTCTTTTAAAAAATAATATGGATAAAACAGTTAACAATGTAATTAATAAGATTCTATCTTCACATCTTATACAGTTGCTTTACTCAATTAACCTGCGAAAATTGTAAATAAAAGTTAAATTGCATTTTATTGCTACATGAAAGCATTTGCTACACCTAATCAATTTTTATATATTTTGTCAATTTTATAAACGGTTAACTAAAATCATGCCACATATCCCAAAACACTCTGTTTTTTTTTTAATATATATAAGATAAGATACTAGTAATTTCTTACCCACCAGGCTACGAACTTATACTAAATCATGAACACATACGATATCGTGAAGTGGCCTTGTCAATCACCAGTCAGAGAGAAAAATTAAAGTAATTGATCCTACATTTCACCAGTAATTGGTGCTTTGTATTGGACGTACAGTTGAGTATCTTTTGATAATTCCACTCGTCAAGAGGGCTCTATTCTACGTTTTCCTTCATGCTTCATTATAATTTGTAGCTTTCTCTTGAACTTTTATTTTTCTTTTTAAAGTATACGACTCTAATGTAGTGGTAAGATTCCGAGTAGATTCATGAGAGAATCATGGAACAGCTAATCGTGTCTGGGGTGAGGAAGAGAGAGTAACTTATTAATGCAAATATGCAATCAACAGTTAATTTCAGAAATTTTCAAAATGATAAGAACCCTAAAACCATTTTAGAAAATGAAATAATATAACATTGTTACCGAGATGAAAATGAAGATAAAAGAAATTATAATTAAACCTTCATAGCATCAAAAGTAAAATGCTGAACTGCGCTACAAATTCCAAATTTGAAGCACTAATTACATAAGTTCGAAGTCAACATTCCTTTAACTTGCAAGGCTGAAAATATTCGAGAAATCACACGATTGGCCCATAATCAAATCCTTTTTATCAAAGAGGCCGTCACATTGATGAAGTGAGTCTTCTCTTTGGACATGCGATCGGTTAGTATTGCCTTGTACCTCAAGAAAACCTCCTCCATTTTCTCTTCACCAAAATGACCAACAAGCAACGGTTCAGCCACAGCTCTCATGCATTTTGCAACGTTATATCCACCGTCTTTAAATCTATCATCCTTAAACACTTCATCTTCATATGCATTCCAGTGGATCTCCGAAGTCTCAAGGCGATCGATCTTGAAAGATCCTTGAGATTCAATAATAGATTTCACTTGTGCCAGGGAGGGTGTATAATTCGGTATATTGAATGAATCTAATTTGTCTGCTTCTATGAGACCCTCGATTTCAAATTGTTAAAAGTTAAAAATTTGTTATTGCGAAAATTTATTTCTTTTATTGAAATGTAATTTACGTTATGGATGCGTGTACATATGTAAAGTTAGCAATAAAGGAAAAAATGTATATAGTACCTCAGGAACCATATCTCTGAGAGCCACAGCTAAAAGTTCCCAAATGTAGCAGCTATCTTTGCTACAAGGATCTTCACTTATTCTTCCCAACATTGTTAGAACCATGCGGCCATCTGTTACCAATTCTTCGGCACGACAGCTTAGAAAAGCCAAAAAATCGTCCTTAAATTGCTTGAACATGCCTTTATGACACTTGGAGGACTTGAACTCGCCATGTAAATGTTTCCTTTATTAGCTTCTTCCATTTCAGGAATCTATCAACATCATCACAGAAAATTCATGAAAAGCCCTAGAAACATGAATAGAATGATAGGACGGACTAAGAAACTAATTAATATTCTCTCTGTCCCAAAACAATATTATCCAGTTTAAATTTTTTATTTTTAATACAATTTAAATTAAAAATAAAAATCCAAACTGGATAATTATTTAGAGACGAGGGAGAATAAACTAGGGTTAGCATGTAGAGACGGGGGAGAATAAACTAGGGTTAGCATGTAACACCTTGGACAACCATTGAAGGCTATAAGATGAGTGAACGAAATGAAGACTTTCGGAAGGGAAAAGCCTCTGGTAGAATGAACCAGGAACTCCTGTGACAAAGCATGATCCAAAACCAGCTCCCATTTGGGTTCTCAGTTTTCCTTGGAAACCATGCACAGATTTGAAGATGGTATTGAAATCGTTACTCGGAAGATCATTCAAGAAATTTGGTATTCAAGAGATTTTTGGCACGATACTTGGCGGCTTCGTTCGACTGATTTGATTATCACAGAAATAGCTAAGAAAGTGTTTGGTCCAGAAGAACATCCCAAATCCGCTATGCATAGGTTTTTGGGAGAGAGGCTATTGTAGAGATTTGTCACATCAACGTTACTGGGAAAAAAAAGAAAAACCATAGGACACAAATCCAATATACCATAATCAAGCGCAAGTTCTATCAAATTCAAATGAGAAAACAAAAGAATAAAGTTTTGTATATCTTTTCATGTATGCATGGATCAATTACCTGGAGCAATGAGTTGTTTGCATAACTATTTTCGCCAATCCCTTCATTCATGCGGAGAACATCGGTAATCAAATCCATGGATTTTCTGCTCTTTTTTTAAAAATTTTTTTTTTCCTTCCTTCTTTCTTTCTTTTGGAGGCAGCTAATTACACTTCAGTTTTGATGCGCTTATAAAGTTTTGAGAATACATATTTTTGCTCAAAAATTGGTGCCCTAGTTATCAGTGTTCTTCGTCGAATTGGACGGTAGTAACTTCACAATGTCAATCCGTTTGCAGGTGTTATATTTCTTTTTTTAAAAGAATATTTTGTTGAGAAGTTATTACTCCCTCCGTCCCATAATTATTGTCCAATTTGGTTAAAATTTAAGATTTTATTTTTGGTCAAACTGAACCATACTTTGACACAACCTTCCAAATATACCCCCACATACAAAAGGTTTTTTTTTACCAGTAAAAGGTTTGTTCTCCTCTGTTCGTCGTTTCCAATTCTCTGGAACCTAAATCTTCTCCCTTCTTCACCGGTCTCCGGATCCATCGATTCTTGACTGTTTTTTGTTTCGATTTTATGCTTTTGCGCTCTGATTCGTTCGTTCCTCTTTCTCATATTCGTTGCTTCCGAATTCGTTCTGATTTTCTTCTCCAATAAACCTCTATTTCCGATCCTTCATTCTTCTTCATCTTCGATTTTTCTTCAAAATCGATCTCATCCTCTTCCATCTTTATCGAATCAACTTCTTTGAGCAATTTCCAACCCAACCTTTTTTTACAGAGTACCCAAATTCAAAAGGCAGGAATACAACCTTCATCATCTATTCTTCATTCCGACGCCGGCAATCAAACAAAATTTTCAAATAAAGAATTTTGAATTTGAAGAATCCTCCTACTATAATTTTCAATTTGGTGCTTCTGAAGACCGTGCTCTATTTCATTGGAAATTACAAACAGAGCTTTTCAATTGCAAGCCAGAAACAGAGCTTCATCCAAATTTTGTGGATGTTCTTATTATTAGTTTCAATTTAATGTTCCTCCAGGTATTTTTCTATCATCGGGGATTCATTTGAATAGATCAGTTTCGGTTTCGTCGGATTTTGTTCTGATAAGAGTTAAAGTCTGTGCTGATCCGGGGGTCATTGGGTAGATTGTAGGAAGGGTATAAGGGTAACTTAATTTTTAAAAGGTCAAATCGGACAATAATTTTAAAATAAATTTTTTTTGGATAAAATGGACAATAATTTTGGAACGAAGAGAGTATTTTTTTCTAGCGCGCTTTTCTTGTGTGAAAAATGGTGTCATAGATGAATATCGGGGTTGGAAATAACAAGCTAGCACGACCAAATTGAGTGTCATTAGTTTATGCTTCCCGGGTCCAAAAGTTAGAGTTCCAATGATTGTACTAAAATAATTAAATAGGTAAAATTATTTGAATAAGGACGAAAAAGATTGGAAGGTTGGGTTGACCGTTGATCTCTCCGACTAATCTTTAAGCACTTGACAATAATTTGCTGCTATATTTGTTCTGCGATCCCCTACCACTAAATCCCAATCAAATATCCAGATTTTGGAAGCACTGGAAACGTGAATACTGCTTTAGCGTATTGGTGCCACATAACCTTCATATATAAAAGAAATTAGTGCTTGTTGAACAAAATAAATGTTATTTTAAAGTTAAGATTTGATTGCCGACAGAATTAGAAATTTCACGAAAAAAGTTGTAAATTAACATAAATAAGTAGGATGACATTGGGTCTCTTGAAAGATTAGGAATCCATATTGTTTGTTAAATCTGTGTAAATACTTGTAAAATAACTTGTTGGTAAAGTAACTAATGAAGATTTACATTTCACCAAAAACAAAAAAAAAAATTTAATGTAATAACATTATAATACTTTGTCCGCAATTGCAAAAGTGAACTAAATACATGCTCATTCTATCATAAAACAAATGATTTCCAGTTTGAATTTTTACTTTCAGTATACTGTAACTTGTAGTAGAAATAAAAATACAAACTAAATAATTATTTTGGGAGAGAAAAGAGTAATTTTTTAATTATAAATTTAGCACATCTCTTTCTGCTCAACCATAGAGGGAGCACGACAATCACGACTTTCCCCCTAGCTTTGTAACCTAGTTATATAAGGATTTGGAAGGACTTCAAAAGGTATTTCTTCAACGAGCTTAACAAAGTGATGCTTCTTAATTTCTCCAGGAGATACCCATGATTGTAACGTGACATCAAATTATCACTTGCCAAATTAACGTTACACCAACCCAGTTAAGAGGCAAAATCATTTGATACTCTACAACATCATCCTTGACATTAGTAACTGATCATATTCAAATAGTTTTACTTTAAACATATTTAAATATCGGAACAAATATCGTTGAATGTGTCAATTCACGTGCAGTTTTTTTTTTTTTTTTGTTTGTTTTGGCAAGTAAAAATTTATTTCCGCACTGCTGATCAGCACGCAAAAAGGACATCAAGCAACCACCTCATGACGAATTACGAGTATGTCTCTGCTCAATTATTCCAAAAGATTTCGTAAGCTATTAGTACGAGAAAACCATCTCCAAGTGATTAATTAATTGCCACCTTGGTGCAGTCAGAGAAAATGGACTTTATAAATATTGTGAATAAGTTATACATGGCGCGCCTACCATGCATCTGGAACAATCTCCAAGTGTCTAATGCTTCTTCCTCCCACCCCACCCCCAAATACAATAAAAATCGGGGATGAGTTTCGGTGTACTTTTTCTAAACGTGATTAGTCATCTATAAATTTGTGCGAATGATAGTCAAACCTCCTCCAAAAAGACACATAATACAATTATACAACAATTCTCAAACGGAAAAAACAAGGGGAAAAAAAACGGGGGAAAGGACGGAGAAATGCCTAGTTTAACCTAACCGGTTTGAGTGTACCCGACCAATTCATTTACACTAAAATATTTGGTTCGACCGAGTTTTGGTAGTGGTAGAAAGTTTAAACTTTAATTTATTATATCGTAATGAGGTGATATTGTTTCACATAAATTCATTCTCTATCAAGGAGTAATAAAAATTGTACTTCTTCCATCCCGAAATTATTGTCCAATTTATATTTTCATTTTTAGTACACTAAACTAAAAGTGAAATCTAAACTGGACACTAATTTTAGAACGGAAGTAACATAATAACGTCATTTATAAGGCTTCATAGAATGTAATCATGATTTCAACGGTTTATTTATGATTTTGATATATTAGTTACTGTTTCAGCATGTACTCTTTCGACCTGATAATATAGGAACAGTGCAGTTCTTCACATTTTGCTTCAACTCGTTCCCAAAGATATTTTTCCTCGCTTCATCATCTGATAAAATTCCTTCTTATTGTTGTTCCACACAAGTATAACACGCTGAAAATTGAAGTAAACCATATTGACTTAGTTTCGAATATTTTAAAGGATGATTTCTTCTTTCCCACCGGACACAAAAGATGGCCTTAAAAATTAATTTGCGGCTGCGCCATAAGGAATGGCCATTTAATTTAGTACGAATCATAGTACTATTCCAAGACAGACAGAAACTTTTTTTTGTATATTTTTGTCCCTGACATTGTGTGTCTAATTCTTTGTCCTGTACAATCATTTTTTCAACTTTTTTTTTTTTTGAATATTCCCTGCCAAAACTAGGTCAGAACAGAAAGAAGACACGAGAAATTCGAGATATAAAGCTTGTTATATAATCAACAAATTAATATTATCTCCATCTTAAAAGAATTAGAGTTTTGAGATTTACAACGGTTGTAATATCATACTATAAATTTGGGACAATATTTGGCTGACTTAATTAACGCAGTATTGGATCAATTGAATTTTGGTTTGATCAATGGTTCTTGCCATTTTCCCTTCACTTGTCAGTATCTTTTCTTTCACATATTTGTGTCGCCTTTTCCATGTTAACTATTTCCTTGTTTTGACTTCTGATATATTTCTCTCACATATTTCCTTGTTTTGACTTTTGATAAATTTCTCTCATTGGTATTTAGTATTACAGCATCTTTAATCATAAACTCATAAACCACAAAAACAAAAGAGAGAAAATGATTCTGACCCACAAATAAAGTTTATGAATATAAACAGGAAACCACCCCAAAGCAAAAAAACCTGACATGTTGGCCTAAATAAAAGTCATTAGTGGCCATAAACTTACCATTGTGGATGCCCTTAGTGTATATAGTTGAGGTTATAATTTTAATTATGTAGCAATACAACAACCCTAAAGTTTTTCACTATAATAGGTACTATCTCATTTTGAAAGAAAAGTTCCAAAACCACAAAAAGTTCTCCTACATTTCCTCCTTCAGTTTCTTGTTCTGGCTATAGTGCCCTTGTGTCATGTATTGGAATTAGCAAACAGTTTTTTAAGCTAATTAAAAACCACTCTCAAGAGAACAGCCCAAATTAATTAGCTGCACAGACCTTTTCTTTACAAACAAAATCAATTCAAACGATATACAGTTTAAATCTTTGCAATTTATATTCATTCCGAAAATTCTTCTCTCATTTTTCCGGAATAAGTTTTTTGTTTTTTTTTTTTTTTTTTTAAGTTTTAGCTTTTTGGCCTCTTGAATCCAACGTGAAATTGAATAATATTGTAAGGGGAATGATATGGGGACTAAGGTTAGATTGCGGTAAGACGTGTGCCTAAAGACTTTTTCTCTCTTTCACTGTGGGTGAAAACACGCCCACTGCGTGTAGTCGTCCAGATCTCCGACGTAAGTCTGCAATGGCGAGGAAATCAAAGAAGAGAGGAGAGGTTAAGGAGAGTGATAACAGGCAACAGTCTGGAACAGAAAGTGATCATTCAGAAGGGAAGCTAATTCATGGTGACGGTAATTCGAGGAAGATCCAGCTCAGCTCAAACTCAGGTAAATCATCTAATTCGAACTTGATTTTTGAAGATATGTGTAAACGGAAGGTGATTGGGGTTGGTGAGAGCTCAGATGCTAAGAATCATGGTAGATCTGATAAATCTGAGGCTGGTAAGGTAGCTAGGGATAAAGGTGTTTGGCAGGGGTTTGATCCTAAAATCTTAAAATTCAGAATAAGAAGAAATTGAGCTTTATTGAACCAAAGGTTGTGAATGATAGACTTCTAACAAAAACAACTCAAGATGAGATCCAGAGTGAGGTTGAATATTGGAAGTCATCCATAATCTGTTATGTCTTGGGAGCTAAGTTACCATTTCCAGTCATGAATGGTTTCATTAGAAGGTATTGGAGTAAAAGGAATGTAGACAAGGTTCTGTTACTGGACAATGGTGTATTTGTGATTCGTTTTAGATCTTTGACTGATAAGGAGAAAGTGCTAAAACAGAACATCCACCAGTTTGATAATCGTCCATTGATAGTGAAAGATTGGGATGTACAAGGTGGATTTAATGTGGAGGAACTAAGATTGATCCCTGTGTGGATTCAACTACCTAGTTTAAAACTTAAATACTGGAATGCCACCTCTCTCAGTAAGCTTACCAGCATGATTGGTAAGCCTATAGAAATGGATGATATGACAGAAAATAAGCTCAGAGCAGCATATGCAAGAGTTCTAGTGGAGGTTGAATTCAGGGAGAAACTTAAAGAGGAGGTATGGTTTGAAGATGAAACAGGTCTGGTGCAAGAACAGAAGGTGATTTATGAGTGGAAACCACTGAAATGTAACAATTGCAGTGGATATGGTCATGATCTGAAACAATGCAGGAAGCCAGTTGAAAAGAAGTGGACTCTCAAAACAGAAGGAAGTTAAGGAGTCTAAACAAGCAGTGGTGGTGGAAAGTCCAAAGCAGCAATATCCAAATACTAATACAGCATCATTAAGAAAGGAGAGTACCACTGAGTATGGAGAAGGAAGCATACAGATATTAAACCATAAAGGTTAAGATGCCTGACAGTAGAGGTGATGTTAAAGATAGATCCATAAATAGTATTTGTTATCAAGGAACTAGTGACCCTGATCCAGGGCCTAGTACTCATCAATAACATACTATCATGGAATATAAGAGGACTAAATAGTCCCCAGAAACACAGAGAGGAAGATCAATGCCTTTCTGTGAATAATGTTGGTATATGGGGCTGTTGGAGACAAAATTACAAGGTGAAAAGGTGAAGGAGCTAATGGAAAAGAGATGGTACAACTACTGTCATATAAGTAATCATGATAATCAAAACAAAGGGAGAATATTGATGATTTGGAGGAGAGACGATTCTGTGGTAAAGGTGATCAAAGTGGATAGTCAGTTTATACGTTGTCATATTACTGAATTGGAGAGTAAAAAACAATTTTACTTCAATTTGGTATATGCTGATTATTTAGCTCAAGGGAGAAGCATACTTTGGGAGAGTCTGAAAACTCTTTCACATGGGATTAATGAAGCTTGGTTGATATTAGGGGATTTTAACTATGTTATGCAACAGAATGAGAGATTGGGTGGCAGGGAAGAAATGAATTCTGATTCTGGGAAATTTAAACAGCTGGTTGAGGAATGTGAATTATGGGAGATGTCAATGCAAGGAGGATTCTTCACATGGAGCAACAAGCAATATGGGGATATGAGAATACTGTCTAAGTTGGATAGAAGTTTCATCAATGAACATTGGGAGAATGTTTTTCCTGAGGCTTATACCACAATATTGAATGCAGGGATTTCAGATCATAATGCTCTTCTAGTAAAATGGGGAGAAGAATATGTTGGAAAGAAGAAATCCTTCAGTTTTTTTAATATGTGGTTACAAGATCAGGAATGCAAAACCATAGTGAAAGAATGCTGGCGTAAGGAGGTGGAGGGGACAAGCCAATATAGAATGATCAAAAAGCAACAAATGTTGAAGAAACCACTCAGAGACTTGAATAAAAGGAAATTTTCAAACATTGAAGAGGCAGAATTACAATGGAGGAAAAAATTGGAAGATGTACAAGAAGCCTTGAAGACTGATCCATTTAATACACAACTTCAACAGGAGGAAAAGGTAGCAATAAAGGAGTGTGTATTAGCAGGAAAAGCAGTGATTAGCTTCTATAACCAAAAATTGAAGGAGAAATGGCTACAGGAAGGTGATCTTAATACTAAATATTTCCATGCCAGTTTAAAGAAAAAGATATCAAGAGGCAAAATCAGAGCCTACACTGATGATCAAGGAACTCTGATTGAAAATGCAGAATTGGTGGAAATGCACTTCTTGGAGTATTTTCAGTCACTCCTTGGAACAAATGTGACCAGAACATCAATCCAAAGTAGCTTTTTCAATACAGAGATCAAACTGTCTGTAGAACAGCAAATTCTCCTGACTGAGGAGTTCACTAAGGCGGATGTTAAGGAAGCAATGTTCAGTATAGATGTTAATAAGAGTTCAGGCCCTGATGGATTCAATAGTGGATTCTACAAAGTTATGTGGTCCATTGTAGAAGAAGATGTTTGTGAGGCTGTTATTGAATTTTTTAAAACAGGTAGAATGTTGAAGCAACTAAATGCAACTTTGATTGCCTTGATTCCTAAAGTAGCTGTGCCTAAAAATGCTACTGAATACCGACCTATTGCCTGCTGTAACACTGTATATAAATGCATATCTAAAATGATTTGCAAAAGGCTGAGCAGTGTTCTTGATGGATTGACTGATATCAACCAAGGAGCATTTGTGAAAGGAAGATCTATTTTGCAAAATATTCTACTTACACAGGAATTGGTCAGACTGTATAACAGGAAAAATGTAAGGCCAAGCTGCTTGATGAAGGTGGATCTCAGGAAGGCCTATGACTCTGTACACTAGTGTTTTATAGAGGAGATGTTACAGGAATATGGTTTTCCACCAAAGATGATAGGTTGGATCATGGAGTGTATTAGAACAACAACTTTCTCTCTGAATATTAATGATTGCAGTACTGCCTTTTTCCAAGGAAAAAGAGGTTTGAGATAAGGTGATCCGATGTCACCCCCTCTTTGTAATGGTGATGGAGTACCTAACCAGAATGTTCAAATCAGAAGCAAGTAAAGAAGGTTTTCAGTTCCATCCTTATTGTGATAAACTGAAAATAACTTCTCTGAGTTTTGCAGATGATCTAATCATTTTGTGTGGTGTTGATATTCATACTGTGACAAGAGTGAAGAAGATACTGGAAAATTTTGAAGCTACCACTGGATTGAGAGTCAACTTCAATAAATCTAATATGTGGCAGGAGTATCTGATACTATAGCTAATCAAATTCAATCCATTTTGGGCTTTGAGAAGGGAAGCTTCTATGAAATATCTTGGGACACCAATATCACCAACTGCATGGAGTAAATTGGAATGTCAAAGCATGGTGGATAAAGTCACTGCAAGGATTGGACATCTAAGCATTTGTCATATGCAGGTAGGTCCTTACTTATTAATGCTGTTCTGATGAATTTAAATTCCTATTGGGCTCGCATTTTTCTTATTCCACAGAATGTGATTCAAGATATAGTCAAAGTTTGTAGACAGTTCCTTTGGGGAAGTAAGGAGGATGGAAGGAAGCTACCTCTAGTAGCATGGAATGATGTATGTAAGAAGAAATCAGAAGGAGGCCTAAATATCAAGGAACCTAGTTTGTGGAATAAGGCCATGATCACCAAACAGTTATGGGATCTGAGTAACGGAAAGGAAAGTTTATGGGTTAAATGGATGCATATTTTCTACATAAAAGGAAGATCAGTATGGGATTGTAGAGCTCCAAATGACAGCAGTTGGCACTGGAAGAAACTAATGAGAATCAAAGAGGATATGAAAGCAGGGATTAGCACTGGGAAATGGAGGCAAACAGTATACAGCAAGTAGTGGATACAAATGGCTGAAAGGAGAAAACAGAAAGGATCATGCAGCAAAGGTAGTCTAGTGTTGTTATTCAGTACCAAAACACAGCTTTATAAGCTGGTTGTCCAGGAAGCACAGATTGACTACTGGGGAGAGATTGCAGCAGTTGAATATTGTTGCTGGTGACATAAGGTGTGTTCTGTGTGAATCAGAAACTGAAACTGATCATCATCTATACTTTCAGTGTCTGTACTCTAAAAGACTGTTGGACATGGTGAAAGATTGGCTGGGAATAACTATCATCCCAAACAAGTTGAATGTCCAGGAAATGCTGCAACTGTGGAGGAACAAAAAGGTGCAATAGAGAGTGTTCTATACTCTATTCATGCTACTGTTTACCATGTTTGGATGGAAAGGAAATACAGAAAATTCAGAGATGTAAAATTTGAGGTGGAATGCTGTTTTAGCAAAATTCAGCAGGAGACTAGGTGGAGAATACACTTTTGTTTGAAGTTGAAAAAATTAAAAATTAGTGAGAAGCAATTTATGATGAGATTAGGGCTGAGATTTGATACATGATGTAATTATACCTTGTACAGGAAGTTTGTGAAGTGATCAATACAATTTACAATTTACCAAAAAAACAGGGGAATGATGAATCGCCCCCCAAAAAAAAAAAAAGAGAATAGTTCCTATTGTGTTTAACTCAGTTTTGTTTTTGTTTTGTGGTCAACTCAACCAAGATACAACCATTTAATTACCCACAAATTTCTAATTTTGTTTTACTTTAAGTTGTTCTCAACATAAGCCCAGTATATCCCTATTTTTTTTGTTGTGAAGATATTTTAGTTATTTTTACTTTTATGAAACTAGATCTTGTTTCGGAACAAACTTTATTTTATGAAAATGAAATATTTTCCTGGGACTATGGGAGTACCTTCCAACAAATGAAATAGACAATCAAGGACCCTGGTTGCTATAAATTTGGACTAAAACCAACTTTCATTTGATTTCTCAATTTTCTCGAAAGATCCTTGCCCTGAAACTTTGCGGCTTTTATCAACAGTTTTGAAGATTTCAAAAATAGCGAAGAAAGTACTCGGCTTGTTTTTGCAATTATTTTTGCAACATATTATAAATATTGCTTTTTATGATATCTTGTTTGGAAGGTTTTTTTTTTTTAAAAAAAACATATATTTATAAAATATATTGTCTATTCGGAAAAAACTTTTTTTCAAAAATGAAATATTTTACTAGAACTACGGGAGTACAATCCAAAAAATTAAATAGACAATCAAGGTCTCTGGTTTCTAAAATTTGGACTAAAACCAGCTTCTATTTGATTTCTTCATTTTGACGAATGGATTGTAGATTTACAAATGTAAATAACTAATAATGTTACAATAATTCGACGCAGGCACAAAGTAAGTTAGGTGTATAAATTTTCATATAATACTCACTTCGTCTCAAAATTATTATCCAGTTTGATATTTTTATTTAAGTTCAAATTATACTAAAAGTGAAATCTCAAACTGGATAATGATTTTGTGACAGAGGTAGTATAATTTAGCACATCTCTACCAAATAAATAAGTTAAAAGGGGCATTATTGTGGAGCCCGTATCCAGTGCACCCGGGTGTACCGTATACCCCCCACTAAACACACGCTACATGCGCTCAACTATTTTCAGCTTTACATTAAATGCACCAACAAAATTGTTTTCATCCATTTTACTATTTTCATCCTCACGCACAAACACACACAACACACAGTCGACGGAAACTCTCCATTTTAGGGCAAATGCAAAATTGATCACCACCAAAAATTATACAAAGTCGACGGAAAACCTCCGCTAGAAGATGATTTTGATAACTTCATCTTCTCTCTGCTTTTTTCATTTTGTCAATCTGTTCTTTCACACACACACACACACACACACACACACACAGACGACGGCGAGAAACCCTACCTCCGGCCATCTCAAGCTCTCCTTCATCTATACATGCTTCACTCGTAAGTATATTACTCCAGGATCCTATTTTTTTGATTATCCAGCAAGATTTTGTGTTTATCCACTAGATCTGAACTGGTTATCCATGTTTTCCTGCGTGTGCTATGTGATGGTTGTCCATGCCATAATTGCTGGTTATCCACCCATTTCATACTGGTTATCCACAAGTTGTAAACTGGTTATCCAGATAGTTATCCACAAGTTGTAAACTGTTTATCCATACTTTTTTTACATTTGATTCTATGTGCCATGGACAAACTGAATTGGTTATCCATGTTTTTATTTTTTTTTGCTACTGATTATCCACTATATTCGAACTGGTTATCCATGTTTTCCTGCGTGTGTGCTATGGGGTACTTGTCCAAACTTTTTTTTGTAGTTATCCACCCATTTTATACTGGTTATCCGCAGGATGTAAACTAGTTATCCACTGTTTTTTTTAGATGTGCTTTTATGTGGCTACTTGTCCATACATTGCTGGTTATCCACTCATTTTATACTGGTTACTCCTTTTTTGATTACTGCTCCTTTTCATATGCTGCTATTTTGTCCACTGACTTCTTAGTGATTGTTCAATGCCAACAGTGCCCTAAAGGAGCTTAGAACAAAACATAGGCACGGACGGATCAGCGCAAGCCACGACCTTAACCGCAACCCAGACAGATCACCGGATCCTGAACCAGAGGTAATGGAGCTCCCTGACAGAACACTGACGATATTTAAAAAACCAAAATCAACACAAGAAGAACAGTCCCCTGCTTGAAGTCCAAGGCCCCACAACTTGTGGAGAAAACCAAAGAGAAAGAAGAGCACGCCGACAGAAAATCCAAAGCAACTTGTGGTCGCTGATAATAATGACTCCACTGATGATAAGAAGCCTAAAAAGAAAAGAAGGAAACCTGAGAACAAACTGATGATTGGTCAAGATCTACAGCCAATCAGTTCTGAACATTGTGTCAAGAAATTTGGTAGATTATCGCCAACTACAAAGGCAGGCTATCAGAGATATGGGATTTGGCGCCTTGCTGGATCTCAAAATAAAAAATATTCCAACAGCATTATGTAGCTTTCTGGCAAACAATTTCTAGACCGGTGCGAGACAATTCCAATGAATGGTAACAATGTACTGGATATCAAATAGGAAAATGTTGTTGCTGTACTTGATCTTCCTCGTGGACCCAAACCAGTGGAAGAATTCAAACAGAACGATCTCGCTATAACAGAGCACGCAGAGATGGTGGATGCATTCAAGAAAAGAATGGGATACAGTAATAAATTCCTGCCAACGAGATCCATGGCGGCACAATTAGTTGCTAGTCGAAAAGATTATGGTGATGACTTCAAACAAGATTTCCTGGTCTTCGTTGTGAGCACATTCCTACATGGAAACACCACCTCTAGAATCACTATGAACATCCTGAAGTCCCTTGTGAACATGAATGAGGCGACAGAATACAATTGGTGTGAATATATGATTGATGCACTGGTCAAAGGATACAAAAGTCACCATGATGGGAAAGCATTCACCGGACCGATCACCTTTTTTCTGATACTTACCATATCCATAAAAATTTTACTATTTATCCATATTGCTTGCAATGTTTATCCAATTTGCTTGTACTGATATCATTAACACCAATTTTTTTTTGTTAGTTGTGCTACCTTGACAAGTGTGAGTATGAGAGAGCACATCCCAAGTCATTCCCTGTGATCAAATGTTGGGATCAAAAGATGCTGGACGACAGATTAAGACTTCAGGGAAGCAATTTCACGGATGTCCAGACACTCGAACGTCTCAAGAAACTGTCCTCAGCAGCATGCCGAGAAGAACACCCAGAGGGGGAATCACAAAAAGAGGATACACAAGCCAACCCCAACACATAGCAAGTCTATGTAGTGTTCTACCATTTCTTTTCAGATTACACCTACGTATCCAACCTAGCATCTACACATTCCACTCACTACATTCACTTTTGCAGGACCTTGCTGCTCTTTATGAAAAGTTCTACCGATTGATTATCACGATGAGTAAAACTATTTTAGACATACGTGAAAAGGAATTGGAGTTAAAAATTGAACCAGATGAATAAGCAAAGCACACAATCAAGATCCTAACAGATGCAATGGTGTCGATGAGTAGAAAGCTGCCTCCGCCTCCAGGGACAACACAACACCAACAAGAGCAGCAGCAAGACCCACAGCATCCAGAGGACCAACAACATCAACAAGAGCAAGAGCAACACCGAGAAGTAGACCTCCAGGATGCACAGAATTTGTGAATTGTGCGAGATGGCATGGAAGGCCGCTGAAAGCAGGTTTGCAATAATAATAGAACGGCTGCAACGACAAGTAGCTGACCAACAACAACAACAACACCAACAAACTTGTGACAACACTGTACAAGCTCCAATTGATCCTACAAATTTTCAAGACATTGAAATTGACAAAGCACAGGGACTGGAGCAATTAAGCGAGACAAATGATGGGGATTCTCTTCCAGTACGGAAATTCGTGCATACTTCAAAAGAAGTGGTTGTTGATGAACAACAAACTCAATCACAAGGTAATGAATATTTTTGTCATACATTTCTTACTGCTTATAAAAAAATAAAAATCAATGTCCACCTCATTCGTACTCGTTATCCAACCGGTTTGTATTGGCTATCCAATTATTTTTACTGATTGTCCAGATGAGTTTGTATTGCTTGTCCAATCATTTTTTTTTCTCTTGAGAAAAATGCTTGTCCAATTAATGTGTTCGTACTGATTGTCCAACCCCATGCTATTGTTTCTCCAGTTTTTTTAATGAAAAAAATACTTGTCTGATGTGATTGTACTTGTCATCCAACTAATTTGTAATGCTTATCTAACCTTTTTTCTTCCTTTAAATGGTTATCCATTGTGTTCCTGCCGATTATCCGACCTGTTTAAACTGATTATCCACTTCGTTTGAACTGGTTATCCAATGTGTCCAATATATATGTATGTACGTACTGTTTATCCAAAATTCCAACTTTGTACTGTAGTACATGGAACGAATATGTCCACAACAAAAAGGAAGAGAAACCAAGAAAAGCAAAAAGCTTCAAAAGCTTGTGAAAGAAGAAGAGGAGAAATGGCGGACAACAGATCCCATCAAGATTCCACTGGCCAGGACAGAGACACACAAGTGGAAGACAAGGCAAAATCCAATCAAGAATCAACCAAAATGGATTCAGGTGTGACACCCACAACAAACCAAACTGGTGCAACATCCACCTATACCAGAAGGACGAGAAGCACTGGTACCAGGAAAAAGAAAGTAGTCAAAGACCCAACTATCCCACATTTTGGCATGGGTATCTTCTCCAGTCAGGAAGATAGTTACGAGAAAACCCAAGAAGACGATTCAGAAAAACAATTCAATGAGCATACCAAGATGATGATGTTCTAGTACCAGCTCCAGTTGAAGAAACGAACAATCCCAGTCATTCCATCAAAAATATCACAGGAAGTGTCGATTCGGATAAAGATGTCGATGAGACTATCGAAGCTGAAGAATATCCAGTACCATCTGCACTCAACAAAACAAAGAATCCCACTCCTTCCATCAATAAAGTCATAAGAAGGGCCAGTGCACCAGCTTCAAAATCATTAAGTGAAACCAGAAAATTAGAAATGATTGCCGCTGCTGCAGAACAAGTTGAGAAGAACTCAAAGGTGGTTGAAGCAGTCCCTATAAGCATAATTCCACCCGATTGGAATATTGCTTCTACCACGGGGGGTTTACTGATGCTAGAGAAAAATGAATGTACCATGCCACCGCCTGCAATCTCAAAGGAAGCTGATGAGCTTGATGAAGAGTTAACAAAGACAGTGGAAAAGTAAGTTTGATCCACTGTGACTCCCAACTACAAAATAGAAAGACGAATTTACATACTAACTCTCTTTTGTTTTGTCCTAGGATCCTTAATGAAAAACCTAAGAGGAGAAATCCAGCAAGAGTCCGCCGGTTGTGTGAACGGTTCAGGTCGCCATTCATGCTCCAGAAGAAGAACAAGAAAAAATTCATACAGTGGACAGAGGAGAAGAAGAAAATGACTCAAGAAGAAGCCCTGTTGATAGACTTCGCTCTCTTACAAAGAGAAGAAGAAATAGTTAAATCAGGGTAAAAGTCACCATCCTTACCCGTGGGATAAAAAAACTTACCAGTGTTCCAACTATTTGTCTATTTGACTACTTTTTCTATGTAGGAAACTCTTGTTTGAATTTGGAAAAATAGTTCGGGCAGACAGGACAACATTGTATGTGGTGGCTTGTCCATGATTCATTTGCTAGTTATCCATCTGTTCTGTACTCCTTATTCACAAGATCTGAACTGGTTAATCATTCCTTCTTGTGTGTCATCTAGGGTACTTTTGGTTGACCTTGTATGTCCTTGATTCTGATCATTATTTTCATTTGTATCATTTTCCAACCATCTCAAACAATAACGCAGGATAAAATCAGTCGCTACTATGAATAGAACAGTAACAAAGACGACATGGAGTTCTCATTTTATGAGAGGTTGGCTCTTGAACTTGAAGAACAAGGCCTTACTGTAGCATCCCTGTTAGCAGTAAAAGCTGTAAGCAACATCTTTTACCCCCTTCACTCTTTCTAAAACTGGCTGTTAAAAACTTTTCATATGATTTCTCTGTTCAATGTTAAATATCATATCTACTTCCCAGTATACTACCAAGACCATTACTTTTTGTACGTGTTGCTGGTTGAAGAAATGAAAGTGCTTGTATTCAACAATCTTCATCCAAAAGATCCGGGCTACTACAACCCGGCAAAAGATCTACTTGTGAGTGAAAAAAAGATACAAAATGATTGTCATACTTTAAAAATTATCCATTGCATTTTGCTGATCCCTGGATTTTATGGCATCACAGTTTCAGTTCTTCAAAAACTACATCGCATGTGTGTTTCCAAGCATAGAACTGGTCAGTACTCAATACACCTTCACAGAGGTTAAGCTACCATCGCATAAGGACAAAACACCGAATGGGGAAGATTGTAGAATATACACAATGCATCACATGGAGCGGTATGATGGTGGTGAGTACGAGGATGGTACTACTTTGGATTTTAACACAGGAAACATCAAAGACTACTGGTGGAAATACATGATAAGAATCCTAATGTACCCAGTCAACAAAAATAAGAACAAAATCCTCGAAGCAATGCACCAATTCTATACAAATACTGCTGAAGAAAAACAAAAAGAAATTCCAGATCATGTTGATTTGAGCAGCGAATCTTACTACAATGATAGAAAAACTGAGGGATAGGTTAAATGAATTGTCATTATGTTCTCTTGTATAATTGATTGACTATTGATCCTAAAGTGTTTGATATCCAACAGCTGTGTACTGGCCATTCTAGTATATTATCCAACCGTTTGTAATGGTTATCTAGGATCTTTGTACTAGTTATCCAACTTGTTTACACCTAATTATCCGAATGTTTTATAGTGATTATCCAGTCAAAAAAATGCAAGTACAGTCTTTAACCTGATTATCCATGAGTTTATACTTGTTATCCAAGACCTCAATACTGCTTATCAATATGTAACCAATGGCTATCCACCATGTGGACATAACAAAGATTCAGACAGGGCTTCCAAAAGGACATAACAAAAGTCCCCGATTGGTACTGGACCTAAACCTAATCACTGTCGCTAGGTATGTTCCAGGCACCATTGTCGTTGTTTTCATAAGAAAATATCTAGACAATGTATTTTGGTTGTCCAAATATTTCTGTAAATTTCCAAACAACAAAAACTGAGTGTCCCGATTTCTTGGTCTTTCGACTTTTTTGTTAAACTGCCTATCCTATGATGTTATACTGCTTATCCAATATTTCTTTGCTGATTATCCAATACTCTGTATTGTTTATCCAGGATTTTTGTACTGGTTATCCAGCCAATGTGCAGAATAAATTATGCATCAAATTAACTCAGATTCTATAAATTAACATAGATTAAAATTAACATAAATTAAAACAGCAATAAACTGTCAAACTACCTCTGAGACTACAAAAAAAGCTATCCAACCCCCCGCCGATTATCACCGCCTGCAGGAGAGTCTGTTAATTAAAAAAGCAAAGAGCATGTTAATTGGGGGGTTTCGCCCCCCATGATAAACTAAACGACTCCCGCGGCTACCGAAATCGCAGGTCATCAATCTGCCGCGGCTGCGCTGCCCCGCCGAACATGCCAATGTAGCTAAGGTAATCCTTTTTTCGTGTGTGTGTAAGGAGAGTGTGTTATTGCATTAAGAGAGGGCACAAATTACTTATATAAATCCTCCCGTGATAAACTAAATGACCGGCTGCGCCGCCCCCTTGTCGAACACGGCAAATTTCATAAATCGTATTTAATTGAATGAGGGGCATTTTGCCAAATGATGGAGAACAAAAAATGAATGAGGGGCAGTTTGCCAAATGATGGAAATAAGGTACGTTCAGTTGTGTATAACTAAATATCCATATTGTCAATACTGGTTATCCAACTGTGTATAACTAATTATCCATAGTGCCAACACTGGTTATCCACATTGTGAACACTGGTTGTCCATAGTGTGTAGCTGGTTAGTGTGTATAACTAAAAAGCCACACGTTTTGTAATTAAATAGAATTTAAATACTTGTATAAATCCTCCGTGATAAACTAAACGACCCGGTTGCGCCGGTGCCCGCGGCTGCACCATCTTTCGCGGTTGTGCCGCCCCCATGCCGAACATGGCAAATTTCATAAATAGTATTTAATTGAATGAGGGGCAGTTTAACAAATGATGGAGAACAAAAAAAGAATGAGGAGCAGCTGGATAACCATTGTAAAAAATACGGACAACGATATCCAAGAAAAATATAAAAGGAAAAAAATGATAGTCCACGTTGGCAACACTAATTATCCAACAGGTTAATAATGGTTATCCAGTCATTTTCTAATGACTTTCAAACTGGTTTGCACTGGTTATCCAAAATGGTCTCAACTGCTTATCCTAACATTTGATACTACTTGTGATATTTTAATATAATTTACTTACCCAATGTGTTAGTAATGATTATCCAAACAGTTTGTAATGCTTATTGAATTTTTACTTTGTTTTTATTCTTTATGAAAAATGTTTGTCCATAGTGCCAACACTAGTTACCCAGCTGTGTTTAACTAGTTATCCATAGTGTGCATACTGGTTATCCACAGTGTCAATACTGGTTATCCACAGTGTGGAGCATGTTACTGTGTATAATTGAAAAGCCACACGTTTTGTAATTAAATAGAATTTAAAAGATTGAGGGAGTAAAAATAAAAAAAGAAAATTGAAAAGGGTGATGTTTGTGCAGAGTACATCATGATCTAAAGGGTAGTTACAGAGCCACACGTTTTTACATGGAATGGATTGAATAAGGATTAGTTACATAACTGTCATTAAATGAGTTTCTTGATTATCACCATGATAGTTAATGAATAGAGAGTGAGAAGTCATTGATTTGTGCAAAAAGATAGGACTGCATGGGTAGTTAATCCGTCAAACTACCTCTGTCAATATCAGAAAAAAAAAAACTACCTGCAAAGTCTCTATAAAACTCCATGACATCTCCACATACAGCATTTCTATAAAACTCCCTCATCTGCACATACAACAGAACGCCTGATTTCAGCATCCAAAGCATCCAACAGCCAGAAAAAAATGAAAAACGAAAAAATTTTCTCAAATTCCACAACCAAACAAATGTCCCCCAGGCAAGCAAAGCAAGAAAAACACAAGTACCCTGAATATATCCATCATGATATGCTTGATAATATGTTCATTAATCTGACATTGGAAAAAATTGGTGAGTTCCGTCATGTCAACAAAGCTTGGGAGCAAATGACGAAACGACAAGAATTTGTTCTTAAAAAACGTGAGATGAGCTATCCTGCAACTGAAAACAACATCCTTGTTTTCACTCAAACAAGCCAAGAAGGTCACCTGTTGCAAGACAAACTAATCGCCACCAACATAAAAGTGCAAATGGATAACCCATGCAACCACATACTATTGCAAGAAGAGATGTTGATGGGTGACGACGGCATCCATAAAATCATGCCTGTCACCACAGATTTGCTCTGTCTGCAAACCAGGTCTCAAATCAAATTCTTGAACCCAAAGACAACATAACTTGCATCAATTGAATGGCCATATGATCCTCATCAATTGAACGGCATCCATAAAATCATGCCTCTCAGCAATTGTGAAACAGCATTTGGGTACTATCATCCAAAAAAAACTTACGTTTTCATGGCCCTTATTGCCGATGGAAAAAACATGCAAGGTTGCATTTTTTCTTTTCAAAGTTGTTCAAGTATTCATAGAGGGGAATGGAAAACACTTTGCAATGTATGTCCTCGCCTTGTATCTGATGGAACCTGGTTTGATAGATTCGTGTACTGGCGTGTAGACAAACTATCCTCTGAAATAGCATACCTCAAGAGTTGCTGGTCGTGTTTGGCTACCACACTCAACAATTCCAAACCATAAACTGTCCTCCATCTCCAATCTTCTTTAACCCCACTGATCCTTATCATATGAATCTCCAAGTTAAAATATTGGACTTCCAGGGGACTGTGTGTATAATAGATGAGTACCACGTTACTCAGAATCATCACTGTCAGATGTGGGCATGGGATCCAGATACTTCCACATGGGATTGCATGTTCGAGACCCATGAATTCCCAAATGTGAACACACACGTTCCACACGGATTACAGTTTCGCCATGATTGGCTTTACACAGTGTTTCTAAGCCACAAATCATCTCCAGCGGCACAGTTCATTGTCAAAGGATACGATAATCGACATTTGCTGTTGTATAGTGTTCCTACCAGGAAAATCACACAATCAAGTACATCGCCGGATCTAGAAACCAGTTTCATCATTGCAGCATGTTACTTCTGGGAGACATTAACGAACTTTTAGGATTTTATTTTTTTTTAAAAAATTTATCTTTCCCTTGTTAACTTATTAGTGAAAATAATTGTCCATTGATCTTATACTGGTTATCCCAGGACTTTGTACTAATTATCCACATTATCTATGCTGGTTATGCAATGATATTATTTGTGAAGAAAGCGTGTTCAACATGTTCATGTCTTTTTTGTAATATCTATATGCATTTAAAGTTGCATATCCGGTACAGGCGAGTTGGATATCCAGTACAGGCGAGTTGGATATCCATCACAAACAAGTTGGATATGCATACAAACCCGTTGGATTACAACTACAAAACAAGTTGGATAGGCATACAAACCCAATGGATGGATATCCAGTACAAGCGAGTTGGATATCAAATACAAATGAAATGGATATCCATTACAAACAAGTGGGATATTCATTACAAACAAGTTCAATAGGCATACAAACCAAATGGGTGGATATCTAGTACAAACAAGTTGGATAACCAGTTCAAACTGGTTGGATAACCAGCATAAACACAATGGATAACCAATTTAAAATAACCACTTCGTTATCCATCTTGTAAAACTGGATATCCACCTTCATTCTGCCCATCAGAATTTAATCATTTTTAAGCCCGGAAAAAATATTCACTATGGATCTTGTTGTATAGATCCCGACGAGTACAAAATAATTCGATAAGCAGTACAAACAAAATGGATAACCAGTTCAAACTGGTTGGATAATACTACAATTTAAAATAAATAATAATTTTTAAATAAGAATCTTTACACCATCAATACTGTTCATTTCAATATCAAGTAAAAATACTAATAAAACATCTTATTGAAGAAACGCTGTGCTCTAGCCTCCCTGGCAGCTTCCCTTCGGTTAGGAAATGAGAATCCACCAAAGTTTTGATTCATGAATATCATGTTTTGATGAGAAGCATTCACAGCAGCGGAAGTGCTTGCGCCTTGAAACTCCTGGCCAGCTCCCTTGGGAATTGGAAATGAGAATCCACCGGAATTTTCGTTGATGAATGGCATGCTTTGATGAGAAGCATTCACAGAAGTGGAAGCCCCTGCCCCTGAAAAATCCTGGGCAGCTACACTTGGATTAGTAAATGAGAATCCACCAGAATTTACGTTCAAAGATGGCATGCTTTGATGGGAAGCATTCACAACAGCAAAACTTCCTGAGCTTGAAAAATCTTGAGCAGCTTCCTTTGGATAAGGAAATGGCATGCTTTGATAATGCAGGACTGATGCAACTGAAGATCTTGTTCGGTCAGCAGCAATTCTTGCATTTGTTTTCCTGCCTCTAACTTTGTTACATGCTTTCTCAACAATGC